GGGCCCGCGGCGCTCATCACCAGGAAGTTTACCCGCCCCGGCACTTTGCTCGCCACGGCGGCGCATGCGGCGCGCACGCTCGCCATGCTGTTCGCGTCAACTGTAACGAATGCCCTCGCATATTCCTCTCCGGGCGGCGCGGGCATCGCGGCGAGTATCGCGCTGGCCGCGGCGGCGTTCTGCCCCAACAACACGACGTGCACGTGCCCGGCAAGCTGGCGCGCGAGGCGCCGCGGCCATCGCGTGCCCGACGCCCGATGTTCCGCCCGCGAACACCGCAACGGGCGTGTACGGGCGGCGCGAACTGCGCGACGGAGGCTTGGGCGGCGGAGAGGGTGGGCATGCAGACCTGTCCAGTGTCGACGTTGACGGCGCCTTTTAAGGGGTGATCGGCAGGCGCGTCGTCATCACTGGCATCCGGCACCAAGGCACATCACAGATCGACGGGCGTGGGATCTGCGGCGCAGCGCTCAGGCACTCTCTCGCACACTGGCAGCCTCCAGTTCTATGGCTTGCATAGCTTAAGGTTGGCTTGAAGCCAGATTAAGTGTTTAAACCCTATGGCTTAGTTAAGGGCTTAAGGCTTACTTAAGGCTTAATTGATTTTGGAGCCCAAATTAAGGGCTTATGAACATCACTGCCAGTGTGAGGCACTGATTGCAAACAGTGAGGGAAGCCTACATGAACAAGATTACAGATCTGGCTACCCTTGAGCGAGAGACATCCTGGCGCAGTGACCTGGTCAAGCTGCACAGAGATGAGATTCTCCATCTCATTTGTTCCATCCGACCGTACATCCCACCATAACTCCTCTGCCACGTCACCCACTCCAAACACTGCACAATCAAGTGCTTTCCACTCCCTCAACACCCACTACTCCCTGCATAACTACTCCCAAGCTTCGTGGACTATACAAGTGCAGCATCTGTAAAATACTCGGCCACACAAGTTTGTCCTTTCCTTCTGCCTCCACTAATGCCATTAACAGAACGCAGTTGCAAGAACAACCCGTCCCGAAATAAGAATGCTCTACCCACCACTCCCATTTGTTCATAATTTGTACAGCTCATATAAATAGTTCAATAATTATAATCGAGTCTATTCCAACTCATCAAACAAGTCCTCCTCATCCTCAACCTCTTCTTCATCATCAAGGTAATCCTCCCAGTCCTCTTCATTATCCTCAGCCTCTCCTTTCTCAGCCTCTCCTTCCTCACCCTCAATATCATCTACAATAATCACTGTGTGTCCTTCACCTCTGACTGCCAGTGCAGCAGGGGTTGTTTGTGCCCGATGTTGTCCATGTTTGAAGTTGTCCTCCACCTCATATGCCACAGTTCGCAGTACAACTCATTCATGAGCATGTGTAGTTTCAAGCTCACTTTGGAGGACATGTAGAGGGGTCGAAAGCTTGGGTGGTGCGTGTTTGGTTGGTTGGTGTTAAGTGCCGTGCAAGAACTGAAAGGAAGTAACGGAAAGTCTGAAGCAGAACTGAGTGGCTATCACAACACTATATCGGAGTGAGCAACTACACGTCTTGCAGGCCGAAAGCAAGTCTGAACAAATACGTGAACTCCAACAGATATGTTCGGAGAAGCCAAAGGTGGTAAAGGCTTAGAACGCGGAGGGAGTCGGATGAGAGCGGAGAGTGAGGCAAGAAACGTTAATAACGAAACTGAAGTACAGGACTGTAGAGTACGAGTATTTATACTAAGTGGTAAGCATAAGGCATGTGACCTCGCAGGGAGATCTGATGTGGTCCACAGGATCTCCCTGTGGGTTAAGTACAAAGGCATAGTAAGTAAGGGGAATGAGAAGACATACACAAGGCAAAGGAAACAAGGCGAACGCCTAAAGGATATAAGTAACATCAGGAAAATGACAAGTTTAGCTTTTCTAGCTTTTACAGCTTTTTAAAGCAGTTAAAGCAATAAAAGCAACAAAAGCTCTGAAGCTCTTTTGCAGCTTTTTAAGGTTATGTCCCTTCCTTTTTAAAGCTGAAAAAAGCTGAAAAGCTATTTCAAGTATTAGCCCAAGTTTCACTCAAGCCACTAGAAAGGAAGCTATATTTATTAACATAAACCATAATTTGCATATCTAAACATAACAGTACTTAGATTGTACTAATAGCAGTCGGAAATTACATCGTTATCAACAAGCTCAAAATCACTCTCATCATCAGATGACAGCTCGATGGGGGCGGCAGCCGCTGCCTCATTGCGGGACTTGGCTGCTTTCTGAGCTGCGGCCATTATACGGAACCAGTGGCCAGGTTGGAGCTTCTTGATGAGCTGCTCAATCTTGGCATAGGGACGAACCGATTTGTTGACGCCGTTGACAAGCTGATGGGTATACCCGTAGTTGGTTTTGGAAAAGTTTCCACTGGCGCCAGCGACTGCGACATAGGCCCCCGAGCTATAGAGATTGAAGGCTCGTTTGAGCTACAAATGATTAGTACATGATCGCAACTTCAAGATAACATACCGCTTGGATGCACATGGTCAATGCACCAATAGGATAAGTTGATGAGTCAGTCGCATCGAAGGCAACCGGGCCTGATGTGTTGTTGATGGTCGTCGCAGAGATGTGGGCCGCAAAGGTGAAAGCAATGACGAAGCTCTGGAAAATGCCCTAGCAGTTGTTAGTATACTGGGACCAATAACCAAGGGTCTTACTTGTGGGACACCGTCGGGCGCTGGACCAAAGTCGCGGTAGTAGAACACGCGCTCCTTGTCGGAGCCACCGTTATTGCGTTTGATCGACTCGAGCTTCTCCTCCAGGGTCTTGTAGTCGTCGAGCATCAGTCCGACTGCCTTGATGGCAGTCGCACCGATGCGATGGCGCCAGCCTTCGACCTTGTCCTCAGTCTTCATGGTCAGCCGAGATAGCAACCAAGCTTTGAGACTTACCAGCTTTCCGATCACAACCGCAAGGTCAGTGTCCAATCCAACTTGCAGGTCCTGGAACATGCTGTTCCAGGATGCAATGACCTCCCCATCCTCGAAGCCAGCCCACGCCTCAGCTTCACCAAGCCGCGTCAGCATGTGCGGGGTAAAAACTGTCTTGAACAGGCGTCGGAACTCGGGAGGTAGATTGTCGTGGGTTATGGAGCTCTTCTTCAGTTTGGTAGTCGATAGAGAGTCGTCCTTGGGGCTAACGTACATTGGCTCCATCGTCGGAACAATGCCCGCAAGCGCCGCAATCTAAATGATACTCAGCGCGTAAAATGATACACAAGAAATATACCTTGGCAATGGCGGCTTTTGCTTTGCCTGGAGAGCGAACCGCGGCCGCCCGTTCTTCGCCATCGTCTTCGTCATCAGAGACAAACCCATCGCCCATGTCGTCTGTCTCGTTGCCCTCGCCCGAGGCCACCTCGACGTTGGTATGGTCTGTATGGTGGGGTTAGTAATCCTTTCGAAGACCATGAGGTTGCGCGGCGCGCGCTTTTTTGGTAGTGCGAGCGACACTATAGTTGAAGATGGTTAGTATTTCGGCAGAGAATGCTGATAAAGGACATACTCAGTTTGGGAGGCCTTGCGCTTCAAAGCTGGCTGGGCAGCGAGCAGTTTCTCGCGGGCCTTGTCGACTGCCTCACGAACACGCGCCTTGGTCTTCTTTGCCGGCGGCGCTGTCGGAACTTCTTCATCGGACTGGTCGTCCATCGCCTCGTCTGATTCTTCGTTGTTGCTCTGCTTGTATTCATCGCTACTGCCCGGCCCATCGGAGAAGTCAATGAAATCTGCGACAGATAGTGTAAGTTAGCGTTAAAGGGAAAGACTATTGAAGCACCTTGTGTCGTTGGCACAGAGACCGCGGGCTCTGGGCGCGGTCGAAGTAGCTTCTGAGTCTGAACCACAGGTGGGTGAGCGGCCATCGCGATTGCCTTCTGCTGTTCACGCATCGTTTTAGCCTCGATTTCGGCAATGGTCTTGACGCCTGAGGTGTATTTGGCGGCAACAGCAAGCTTGAGGTCATTCGCCGCTTGTTTGGCGGTGGCGACTTCGGTGGTCGTGCGCTTCTTGCGGGGCATGTCGGGTAGCCCTGGTTGTGCTGCACGACCAGGTCGCATTGTCATCTGAAAGCAGAGTTAGCAGCGAAATTGCATAGCAAATGTAAGACAAACCGTAAGGCGCTCTGGAAGTTCATCTTCGCTGTTTAGCTGAGCGGGGTTGACAGTGCCAGCAGAGACCTATAGGCGGGGATAAGTAACATGACTGGCAGATAGAAAAATATGACGAACCTGCTGGGCTTGCTTCACACTTGGCGTGTCCTTGCTTGTTGCGGCTGCATTCACGACTGCTGGGACTTTGGATTTGGCCTTCGCCTTCGCCTTCGACTTCGACTGGGGCTGACCAAAAGAGTTAGCGCTGGACATGATATTGGCAGCGACACACCTCGAGGGCCGTTGAAGGGACAGTGACACTTTTGCGAGAACGACCTGCCATTCTGAAGTGAGAAAGGATTCACAAGCGGCTCCCAAGCACTCACCCGCTTTTATCCCACTCCCAGATTCACCGACCATCGCCTTTTGGGTGCCTCAAACAACGGGTGAGCTTGCAGAAATGTCGTTAAACGTGTCCTGCGTGTTTCTTTCGCAGGTGGCGCACAGAGAGCGATCTGACCCTACGAACAGGGTCAGCAATCCGACATCCCCTCCGAAGACACTGGCACATACGTGTCATGGTGGCTGGGGTGTGCTAGCTGGCGGGACAGAGGGCAGAGATGGTGGGCGGAGTGAAAATTTTCACGACCGCGACCATCGGAAGATGTGTCATGCGTGCTGACGCTCCGGCGGTCCGGCGGCGGCCTTCCGACAACTCTCACTCAGAGTGGACTCTGACGACGTGAATCGAGTCGGGGCCAAGAACGGGCCACCGGATAATTGCCAGGTGCTTACAAGCTGTTGTTTACATGAGCTCAACCCCCCTCTTTCATCTCTGTAAGTCCCACAAGCGTGCGCGCGCGCCGTAACCAGCCTTTTTTTGGCCTTTCTCTCCATGCCGCGTCGACCTCGGCAACCATTCAGCACCGCTCGCTTCCTCTGCGACATCTGCCAGAAAGCTTGTCTCTCGACTTCTGGCTTAACTCGTCATCGCAATAGCCATCCTTCGCTTCCAGCAGCTTCCCGCCAGCCATCAGCTACCAATCGACAGTCTCCAGCGCTGCAGCTAGCCGATGACCCCCTCCCGTTCCCGCCGCCTTCGCTGCCGCCCAACTCACCGCCCAACTCGCCTCCTCCTGACTCGCCTCCTCCAAGCGAGGAGCCGCCTGCGCATGCTCGCGTACGAATTGAGCGCCATCCGCTGCTTGATGGTGAGCTGTTCTCTTGTCGATTCCAGGAGATTGTTTAACGCTGTCCATAGGCACGCCCTGTGACGCTGATGGATATGACCTGCCTGCTGGAGCTCCGCCACCACCATTGGATGAACGTGCCAAGGATGACTGGGGCTCGTTCGACACCCGCGAACAATTCGAGTTCGCGGAATTCATCTTCAAGCGACAAGAGATGTCGGGGGATTCTATCGACCAACTTGCGCAATTTCTGGCAGCGTTATACAAGGACGACGACCCCTTCTTCAACAACCACCGCGATCTCTATGCCATGATTGACGAGATCCAGGAAGGCGACATCCCGTGGCAATCCTTTTCGGTCCAATATACTGGACCGCGTCCCGATTCTGGCCAGGTGCCCCCATGGATGACGCAGACTTACGAGGTCTGGTTCCGCTCCCCGCTAGCGATCTTCGAGCGTCAACTCGCAAATCCCGACTTCAAAGATGAGCTGGACTGGGCCCCGAAACGTGTTTTCAAGGAGGATAAGCGGCAGTTCACTGACTTGATGTCAGGTAACTGGGCATGGAGACAAGCGGTAAGATGTTCTCGCCAATCCATATTCTGCGCTAATTGTTCTTCCCAGGATATCATTGCCAGGGACGAAAACACCCACGGAGCCATGTTCGTTCCTATTGTCACGGGCAGCGAGGCCGATGTACGGGGGTGTAGGAAATGAGCATAATGGAGCTCGACGGAGCCATCGTGATGGCATTGCTCTGTTGGCATTCCTCGCCATTCCAAAAAGTATGTGGTGCCTTCTTCTCATTATCGAATACTTATCTATGTCAGCAACGCGACAATATGCAAGCAGCAATGAGTTTCGCAAATTTCGGCGACAGCTGTTCCACTCATCCATCCGCCGAGTGTTCGAGTCTGTCCGGCCTCATATGACGACCCCGCGTGTGACTCGCTGTGCGGATCGACACTTTCGGCGAGCTATCTATGGCTTTGGCCCTGACATCGCAGACTACCCCGAGCAGGCGTTGCTGACTGGTATTGTCCAGGGTTATTGTCCTATGTGAGGTTACTTTTATACTTGTCCTCAATAGCTTACATTGTTTCAGCTGTCTCTCTCCAGCAGACGACCTTGATCGTGACAGCCCCATGCGGTCTTGCGAGCATACTGCTGCGCTTCTTGAGACCCTGACACTCAAGGAAATGTGGGATAACTATGGCGTAGTTGGAGATATCATTGTTTGTACTATATCTTTGCTTGTAATTGTACTTATCTGGTATAGCCTTTTACTGCTGACTTTCCTCGTGCCGATATTCACGAACTCATTTCGGTTGATCTTTTACATCAAATCATCAAGGGGACATTCAAGGACCATATTGTCGACTGGATTGAATTGTATATCAAGCAAGTCAATGAGCCTGCAGAAGCTGAGCGTATTCTAGCAGACATTGATCGACGGTAATGCCCTTCATTTGAACTTATTCACTTCTCTGATATATATTATTAGTATCGCTGTGGCTCCACCGTTTCCAGGGCTGCGACGTTTTCCTGTCGGACGAGGCTTCAAACAGTGGACGGGAAATGATTCAAAGGGTTTAATGAAGGTAAGTCAAGATTCAGAGCTATATGCAGGACTGAAAGGGTGGAAGGTCTATCTTCCAGCAATCATTGGCCATGTTCCAAGTGAAATGGTTCAGGCGGTTGCAGCGCTAATTGAATTCTGCTACCTGGTTCGCCGCTCGGTAATTGATGAAGATACCCTTCAGATAATTGACGAGACGATCCGGCGCTATCATCACTACCGCGAGGCCTTCCGAGTTGTACGTCCGCAAGGATTTTCGCTCCCTCGGCAGCATGCACTGAAGCATTATATTGCTCGCATCATGGACTTTGGTGTTCCAAATGGACTTTGCAGCTCAATCACGGAGTCGAAGCATATTCGGGCTGTAAAGCGTCCATACCGACGCTCTAATCGAAATAAACCCCTTGGTCAGATGCTTCTCTCCAACCAACGACTCGACAAACTTGCTGCTGCACGGGCTGATTTCACTGCCCGTGGCATGCTATCTGGGTCGCTATTTGCATCACCGCTGGCGCCCGTAGAGGAGGAACCTCAACCAGTAGAGACCACTGTTGATGATGATGTGGAAGAAGGGGATGTTCCGGGCCCTACCTGCCTAGGGGAGGTAACCCTTGCAAAAAGCTGTGGTACTGTGTTCCTACCCTCCTCTATAATTTCTTATAAGGCCTCTCTAGTTCGCAAGGTGCCCCGCGACGTACACCAGTTGGCACGTTATGTACGCCAGCCACGTCTTCACGAACTTATTCGATGCTTTCTCTTTGAGCAGCTCAATCCTGAGCGAGCCGCAACCGAGGACATTATCCCTCTTGATGACTGTCCAGACTTCGCCGAACGTGTCTATATCTACACCTCCGCCCGGGCAGTGTTCTATGCTCCTAGCGACATCTGCGGGATTGGTGGGATGCGTCATGAACGAATTCGAGCCACAAAGTCATGGTACCGTGGTCCACCTCGATATGACTGTGCTCTCATCGAGCACGACACGGAAGCTCAGGGCTTCCGTGGCCTTCATGCTGTCCGTGTTCGACTTTTGATGAAGTTCACATACCGCGGTATTCAATATCCCTGCGCCTTAGTTCATTGGTTCTCAGCTCATGGCGACGCCCCTTGTCTGGATACTGGGATGTGGATTGTGAAGCCAGACTGGGTTCGGGGTTCTGCCCGCACACAACCCCTGCTAGCAGTTGTCCATCTTGATGCGATCTTACGGGGAGTACATTTGATTGGTGTGGCTGGCAAGGACTTTCTACCTCCTGATGACAAAGACCTGAGCTTTTCAGACTCTTTAGATGCATTTGAAGCTTTTTATGTAAACAAGTATGCAGACTACCATGCACATGAAATATTATTTTAATTTTTTTTAAAAATATTATTTTCAGATATTTTATTATTTTCAAGAATATCTGAAGCTAAAAAAGTTTTAAAGCTTTTAAAGGAAGAAAGCTTAAAAGCATCACAAGTCATTCAAGCTATCCATAAGGTTGGCACAAGTTCACAAAAAAGCTAAAACTGAATAAAGGACTACTCAAGCTACCAAAAAAGCACTTGTCATTTTCCTGATGAAACAAATGCAAGTCCAAATGGGTAAATATTCGAGTTGATGGTCGGGGGGTCCGTACAGGTCCGAGGGAGTCTGCGTGCAGATTACTTAACTGTTTGAAGGGAAATGCTCAGATACTGTTATATCCGTGCCGACTCTGGCAGTCCGTCTCTGATATCGACTCCGGTATTTGGTTTTTACGCAATGAAGATTTACTGAGCATTTCCAATTACCCCGACTTATGATCTATGCAATCATCTATGCCTTGTTCCTCGTATGCAACTCCTCTTCTACTTTACTTGACTTTGTTCTAATCTCGTTACTTACTTTGTTATCCCTTATTCCGTTTCCGTTACTTCTCGTACTATAAATACTTTGATGTATTACTACATACTTCAGTTTGTAAATTAACGTTGCTGGTCTCTATCTTCCAGCGTCGTCTCGACTCCGCTCTTGTCTTCTTGTCTTGTCTTGGTCAACTGGAAGCCCCGGTCACCCAAACATCCTTCTGTGGTGTTCCACCCCCAAGTGCTCTCCGACTTCGATTCCGTTTCCGACTCCGACTCCATCTCCGGTCCTTTGGTCGACACGGCACTTAACAGATACCTTCATCGCGTAAAAACCCTGTTGCGCTCCAAGGATAACCTCGGAGCGTCCGAAGATGCACGGGATATAACAGGAATAGCAATCTTGTCAAAAAAAAAAAGCAATCAATATTATCATACAAAAAGGCTCCTTGTCTTGTGACCAAAAAGTTCTATTTTTCACCTTACAGGCAAGCTGTTTTGCCATAATCTGGGAAGCTGTTTTTCCCCATGGATTTATTTTCTATCTACTTGACCTTTTTCACCCTTTTTTACAATCAATAAAGATGGTATTTTTTGGCCTATTATTATCTTCATTAAAAGATTTAAAAATGCTCCAGTTTTATTCTGAACCCTCAGCGTGCTTGGAGACTATAGGCAAAACTGATAAATACAAACCTAAATTAGTTTCTGATAGCTAATAGTACATAAGAGCTTATTAGCAGCGCAAAAAAATCCCTCGCTTAGGCTCGCTTAAGGCCTCTCGACCAATCAGAGGGCCAGAAAAACGCTAAGCGAGCGTTTTTTTGGAGTTGCTAATAAGCTCTATAGACCAACCCAAAAAAATCGTGATGAGTCGGCTAAGTGGAGCTGTGGGCGCCTGCTGTCCCTCGGCGCTGTCTCGCTTAAGCTTTTACTCCAATATCAACATTTTTTTTGAGTGGCCTACGATTTTGCCATTAGCTGGAACCCGACTCAGTTTGTCAACAACAATATCCAAACCTATCAGGTCAACCTTGAGTTGCTCCCCATTGACACTCACTCAGTAAAAGAACAATGAAGCTGCGCCGAGTTGGAGTCCAAGATCGTCCAGGGCTTGGCATCAGCGGGTCTCTATGTACACGCGATGATTCGCAGCCGTGAAATGCGGTGCTAACTCTCTCCACAAAACATGAGTATCTCCAACGACGTCCTCTACTTGTCTTCTCCTCTGACTCTTCTGGAGCCCTTCTTTGCTATTTCGCTTCCACGATGTACTTTTCGACTATCCTCCCCAGCATCCTCCTCGCTTTGCCGACTCGGATGCTAGTGAGCGGTGTGAGACTTGTACCAACCAACGCAGAGTACGTGCATGTGCTCCAATCTTTCCAAACGCGACACCGCTGAACCCGAACAGCGCATTCGACAAGGAACGAGGCGCGCCGCCTGGCTCTTCTGCCGCTGATCTACTTTTCTATTGGCACGACGATGACGACTCTGGAGACCACAATATGGTCGCTACGACAGTATACATGATGACCAACGGAGGAAATGGGACGCTTTCAGACACCGTGCGCCTCCTTCCTCATCAATATCCTTTTGGTTTCCTAACGAAACTTGTGTAGACTGCCAACGGGTACCCGCTCGAGGCAGTCGCTGTCCAATTCAACAGTTCACACTTCAAGTTCGAGCTGAAGCAATCTAATGTGCCATGGCTAGCCATATTCCCATGTACGAGCGGTAGCAAGGCTGGTAACTCGTCTGCGCTGATCGAGAATGCAGAGAGGTTGGGTGCCGTGGCTGCATTGGTACGTCCATCTCTCTAGGAATACTGGCAAAACAAGCGTAAAATGTGATTGCAGACATATACCGAGGGCAGTGTCTACGCATACTGCAATCTCACTGACAACAACCCACCCACCAAACTTCCTATCTACGCAACCGAAAACTGGGCACACGCGTTCAACGTCTTCTCCGACGAGCTACCAGGACTGTTCAAGTGTGTTTTCTTGTCTTCTTTAGCTTACAACATTGCGTCATATCCCGACTCTAGGCCGAGCAAAGTCCCCTACTACGACCCTGATGCATTGACCAACCTTGCCGCCAACATCTCTGCCGATTTGAACGCGCTCAAGGGCGAATCTTTTGCACCCGTCCTCATCAAAACGCCGGTTATCCTGGCCCGCATCCCGCCAGTCGCAAGCAACGTGACCGCGGCCGTGGCACAGGTCGCATCGAGTTTGAGTGTTGTTGCCGCGAGTCGGACCGCAGCAGCCACAAGACCGTCGACATCGCCAAGCAGTGCCCTTAGGTCTATTCGATCCCCAGTCTTAGCGGGCTCGACGCTTGCGCTTGTTGCTGTAGCTTTCGCGCTGTTGACACTGTAGTAAGTTACAGGTGCCAGTACTTGTGTCTTATCTTTACTTGCAATGCTTCCTTTTCAAGTTGCTTGTGTGGTAGCGCTGACCTTTCTTTGCGTCCTCTTCTGTGACGGAGTTGTGCAAAGCAAGTACGGCGATCCATCGCGAGGAACACATACGTATGCAGAGATAAGAACCTGAATACGACTTTCAGGCACTGCGACTAATCCCAATTGAACATCGCTTGCGCTACGACGTGGTGAATTCTCTCTTGGTGTATTCTTTGAACGCCTCTTCCTTCTCCAAGGTTAATCCGCGTACGGAAGACTGCATCCATTTATCACCCCATCGACAGGATGGGAACGAAGAAGACCGATAGTGTGAGTGACTTGACTGATCGCGGATGCAGATGTCAGAGATGACTGATAACGGACCAGCTAGCGACCGCATCGCAGAATTGTGCGCTGGCTGGGAACGCTCACTTGCGTATTCTTAGGCCAGCTTCGAAAACCGTATATAGCCGGCAAACCAACGGCGAACACGAAGGTATAAAATTGACCCCGCATCTCCCCAGAACATTGAAAGAGCGGATCGTGGGAGGATCCACCTCGGAGACAATGGAGGCGTGGATCTTGGCGGGCCGCGGAACGCCCATGGAGTCAGTCTACATTGAGCTTTCCAACTGGCAACTGGAAGTAAAGCATGAGACAGAGCCCGTTTCAGAAGGCACTGCGGGTGAGTCACCGCGTTTCAGTCTTGGAAAGGAATCTAACGTCGCCACGTAGTGCAGACGTTAGTCGACAGTCCTGAGTTCATGACCATATGGCTAGTTCTATAGCGGGGGGTTCTGAGTAAGGTGTATCAGCTGTTGAACACTCGCCGTCATGGAGAGTATTACGGACACTACAATTTGCTATAATTGAGGTCGACTTCAGCGGCGGAGTTGGTTGAATTGAATGACGTCCAGGTGGAAGAGTCATTGGGGTCGTGAAGACGCCGAGAATGAAATCAATAATCAGGTTAAAGGCTGTTTGATGAGGAGGTTTCGGGGAGCAGATGCTTGTTTAATACAATACTGAAGTCTAGGTCCTGGAGTACCACTGGAGTAAGTGGTGGCACTGGCTTTCCTGTTGCGCCTCGACAAAGACTGAAGTACTTAGTGGCGGGAGGGCATCATTCTGGGCCCCTGAGGTGAACTTCACCGCGGGAATTCCTGTCGTTGTCCACGTCGTGTAGATAAGGACTGACAGTGGCAGATTTGGGCAGATTCAAGCCTGGTGGTCATGATCAGTTTACTTCCAGGCCTTTGGCGTTGGTTGCAGCCGGAAGGGCGGGTGAATCCGGGTGAGTCTGGAACGTCGGGAAATGGTGCGGTTTGGGCACTCGGCGCGCCGCGCGCCTAGCAAGGGTCGAGATAAGAACAGGGGGGGCACAAGTTTTGCCAGCAACTAAACTGCACAAGCCCTGCCGAGTGCGAGGCAGTGAGAAAAGGTTGACAACGCCAGGAATAATGCCGGCGCCAGGCAACGCCAACGGCCGAAGACGGACGACAGGCAAAGACAGCGAAGTTGGGCTTGGCGAGGCACCGTCTGTGATTGGACGATAAGGCGAGAAAGTATTTGAATCAGGGTTATGTCACAGCTTTTGAGTTCCCTTCTCTTCCTCCCACTTCCTCCGTGAGCCAGCTCCCAAGATGCGGACCGACACGGCGCTGCACACATTCGCTGCCCGCACCCTCAACATCACCTTTGACGACGGGGGAGACATCAACTGGGTCGATGCAGACGGGAAACTCTGGGTCTACAACAACGGCGACATTGCCTGGGTGCGTTTACACACGAACAAGCACCCAAAGTCGACTCCTAACGACCCTTTCCATAGACACTGGCCTCCATGGCCCTCGTCTGGATCATGATTCCCGGCGTAGGGTTCTTCTACTCTGGCCTCCTCCGCCGCAAAAACGCGTTGAGCATGATCTGGTTGAGCATGATGACCGTAGCGGTTGTCTCATTCCAGGTGCGCTACCCTTTTCTACACCCTCTGCAGCTGTCTGACCTCCTCCAGTGGTTCTTCTGGGGCTTCTCTCTCGCTTTCTCCGAAACTGGCTCGAAATTCATCGGCGACCTTAAGGTCATTCGCTTTCCGTTCCCTCTGTATACGAGCTATATCTGATGGTTTGGATGCAGTACTTTGCCCTCCGTGGAGTTTTAGAGACACCGTCAATTGGCAGCACTCGTATCCCGAGTATTGTGTTCTGCATCTACCAACTCATGTTCGCGGCGATCACGTAGGTGTCATCTACCTCTTTTCTCTCCACGTTCCCGCACACTTTCGACATTCTTTCCATATCTATCTATATCCTGTTGTCCTGGGCTGACCGGCTTTTTCTAGACCGATCCTCGCTATTGGTGCCGTCGCTGAAAGGACGCGTTTATGGCCGACTATCTTTTTCGTCTTTGCCTGGTCGACATTAGTTTACGATCCCATTGCTTGCTGGACGTTCGTCTCTTCTTGCTTTCCGGTATTCTTGCCATTGACAGGGGCACAGGTGGAACTCGAACGGGTGGTCGTTCGTTATGGGTGGACTTGACTTTGCTGGAGGCTCGCCCGTCCACATCTCCTCTGGTTCGGCTGCTCTCGCCATCAGCATCTATCTTGGCAAACGGACAGGATGGGGTACTGCTCGGTGCGTTCTATGGTCAATCTTGGGTAAAACTGATATCAATTTTGCTTTAGTCTTGCCTACAAGCCCCACAACACTTCCTACGTTGTTCTTGGCACTGTTTTCCTGTGGTTCGGGTGAGTCGAAGCTTCATAGCTGCTTAATTGGTTCTGACAAGTACAAAAAAGATGGTTCGGTTTCAATGGCGGAAGTGCCCTTTCTGCTAACATGCGTGCGGCCAACGCCTGCATCATCACCAACCTTTGCGCCAGTGTCAGTGGCCTCGTCTGGATGTTCTGGGACTGGCGTCTTGAACGCAAGTGGTCTGCAGTCGGCTTTTGTTCGGGCGCCATTGCTGGCCTGGTAGCGATTACTCCCGCTTCCGGCTACGTGGGTGCTCGTGAGTGTCTGATTATTCCCCATCGATGCTTGTCGCTAACAGGGGGGTTTCAGCTGCCTCGGTCCTGTTTGGCTTCATGGCCGGCACCTGCTGCAATTTTGCGACCCAGCTCAAGTTTATCTTCGGCTACGACGATACCCTTGATGTAAGCCTTGCTTTTCTGTTATCTCTCCCCATGTGCTGCTTGGCCGCAGCGCTGCGTGATATATGCGTACCGCACCATGTCAGACCCACGCCACGTGGCTAGACTAGATAACGGCGGCCGACTATCGCATCGGGGCGGTTGTTACCGTTGTCCCTCCCGACGATGCTTTCCACAGTTTGCTAACGCTTGCGTCATAGATCTTCGCCTCCCACGCCATTGGCGGTATCGTCGGTAACCTCCTCACCGGTCTTTTCGCCCAGTCTCGCGTTGCTGTATGTGAAATTTTCCTTGCAAATGAAATGGCTGAAGAGCTTTGTAGTTCTATGATGGCGCTACTGTTATTCCCGGTGGCTGGCTCGACCACCACTACATCCAGCTTGCCTACCAGCTCGCGGACTCTGCGGCCAGTCTTTCGTACAGCTTCGTCATGACTGTGAGTAGTCACATTTCCCTCTATTACTCAGCAGCTGACGGTGCCCTAGACGATCATCCTGTGGATCATGCACTTCATTCCTACGCTGCGGCTGCGGACGAGCGAGGAGGGCGAGCTGCTCGGGATTGACGACACGGAGATGGGCGAGTACGCGTACGACTACGTCGGGCTCGAGCAGGAGATCGGGCACACGCTCGAGATCAACGGCGGCGAGGAGGCGCAGACGGGCGGCCGCGAGGGCCACCACCACTTGCACCACCACAACGAGAAGACGGTGGACACAGAGAGCGCGTGATCTTTCTTTTACATAATTACTACTACACAGTTGCTTGCTTCTATGTGTTGTTTTCTCTCTTTTACGTAGCTTATAGAGGATGAATAGATCCATTATTTCGGAGACGTTGTGACGGCTTGGGCGGGATGTGGTGAGGAGCGGGTTGTGCTAGGCCGCGGCGAGCGGATGTAGCAGCAGCCCCTGCGTGTCCCGCAGTCGCGTTGTAGTTGTTGGGAGCGCGGGAGGCGTCACTAACCCTGGAGGGTCCTGAGAGGTTCGGGTTGGACGGCTGTGCTAGAGTAGCGCAAATGTAGGCAAAGGTGAGGTATGGATGTCCGTGATAATAGCGACCCTGAGTGTGGTCGGCTTGCTCGCCGACCCCGACGCCGATCGGATGACGTCGTCGTCGTCGGTCGATCAGCGCATCAGCGCCCGTCCGCGGCGCGCGGACTGCATGCGGCGATATATATAGGCTCGCTGTATCACGTGTGCGCGACGACCTCCGAGCGGCGCCGGTGTCCCGGCGGATGGGAAAGAAAAATTGATGGGGGGGCGATCACGGCTGTGCCGTGTGACTGCTCTTTTCGCTCTTCTGTGCTCCTGCACCCCACCTGCCGTCGTCATCGACCCACGACCGCGACACGAGCCGAGCCGGACGAGGAAGGCGGATGCGGCGATGCTGTTCCTGCAGCTGCTGTGTTGCTGCTGTTTGCGCCCGCCCCCAGACGAGTCAGACGAGGTGTGTCGTAGTTGTGAGTTTAAGGTTAGAGAGAGGCTGATGAGAGGAAAGGTTATCCCGAATGAACGGACGCGGCTTGTCGATGAGAGCATTGCGTGCGTTCTGTTGCACTCATACCCGACACTGGCTGACCTGACTGCTTGCAGCCCTGCCCAGCCTGGGCCAGTGGTGGACCGGGAGACGCTGGAGGAGCGCTTCGGGGGGATCGTGCGCGCCAAAGAGGGGTGCGTTGTCGTTCTCTGTCCTTCTTTCGCGTTCTACCCGAGGCCCAATCTATCACGCCCCCATCTTTTCCACGCAAACGCAATCTACTGTGCGCAATTAACTTTTCTTTTTTAGGCGGATGGTGAGCGTAAGTGCACGGGCGCCGTTTGACATGCACGACGACGACGACAACGACACGAGGAGCAGCGACGGCCCCGCCCCGCCGCTGCCCAGCACCAACGACGGCCCGACCGGCGTCTTGTTGCACCGCCGGCCGCCTGTGCTGACGATGACGCCCGCCCGTGCGCGCTCGCAGGGCAGCTTCTCGCGCTTCTCCGACAGCCGCACGTCCTCCCGCTCCTCGTCACGTGCGCCGCCGCCCCGCACGCCCGCCAGCGCCTCGGGCTCCGGCGCGGGCTCCGGGGCCGGGGCGCCGGTGAGGGAGCGGAATGGGCTGGGCCTAGGCGCGAGCGAGTGGTTCGCGGCGAGCGAGTCTGGGTCGTCTGCAGGCATCGAGGAGGAGGTGCGCAGTAGCCAGTCCTAGTACTTCACGCTGATCTCTGGGTTAGCCCGAACCGTCCCCGTCTCCGTCCCCGAGCCCGCCGGATCACGGCCTCAGACAACCGACTTCAACGCCCGTCGCGGCGGCGGCAGCGCCAATTGCTGCCCTCGCTGCAGCGCATCCTGTCGTCACACCTCCGCCTCCGCACCAAGTCACGCCGCCCCCGCCACACGACCTCACGCCCCGCGCGGAGGGCCTCCCGCCCACAGGGATCACGTTCGACTGGGACGACCTATAACGATACCACCACCCACACAAAATACTGCAGTTTTATTATCCCACTTACACGCTCTTTACGCGTACTGTAACGCTCCCGCTCACGTTCACAAGACGGACAGCTGCAAAAAACCAATGTATGCACGGACTTATGCACCCTTGGACAGTACATACACACAGCGCATAGCTTATACGGACTCGTTGGACTCTTTTCGGATTTCTCTCGTACTTGACCTGATAATCAAATCCCCACCCACTCTTTTTCCTTCCTCTGCATGTTTGACGGTCACCTAAGTGTTCAAGGCAGCATGGGAATCCGCGCGAGCGACGTCAGTCCACTCTTGAGACGCGGTCGTAGGAAGTCATGTTGATTTTCTTTCTTTCTTCTCGAGATTATGCCAAGTACTGGTGCCATAAGGAAGTTACAGGCTAGAGATTATCGGCAGGGGGTTTTACATGCCAAAAATGTGAGAGGGCTTGTCGAGGGCTTGAGCATGGTCAACGAATGAAGAGGAGGAGAACAAGTTTCAAGGTTATATGCAGGGCCCCGATACTAAGTACTAGTGTGATACACCATCCAGCCTCATGTAAAGCGTGGAACAACCTCTTGCTGCCAGTGGACGAACTCCTCGATCGCGGCGAACTTGACCTCGAGCTCCACCAGTGTCGGATTCGGGACCGGCGTGTCGTGGTAGCTGCCGATTTTAGCTTGGAAGAGGAACTGGGAAACCGAGGGTTTAGGATACGCAGAAATACTGGAAACAACACGATCGCACCATCTCGTCGAGCTCCGCTGTCGACGGGGAGGAACGCCACGGGCTTGCTGATCCCTGCCGCAGCGCATCAGCCCAGTCCAGCAGCTCCAAATTCTTTCACCTTTCGCGATCGCCGCAGCCAGCTGGGGATACGTGAACTTCATCGAGACGACGGGGAACGCGCCGCCCAGCACGCCGACCCGCTTCCCCAGCGGCGTGTTGTAGTTCTTGGCCAGCGCCAGCGCGGCCTGGCCCAGGTCGTGCTTGACCCACATCGCGCACTGCTGGTCCTCTGGTGCGAACTTGGGGGTGGTCACGATGTAGCTCTCGCTGCTAAGCACACCGAGCTTCCAGACGTTCTCGCAGAACCAGGCGGTGAGTAGTATCGAGTGGGGGATGCCGGATTCACGCTGCAAGTCAAATATAACGGAGAAGAGAGCTCGCAACCAGATGAACACAGTGTCGCGTGCGTGTAGAGGCCATTGCTGGACTCCGTCACATTCGGGAGCGAGCTTTACAGAGGACACTTCAGCAGGCGGTCGGCTAACTGTCGCAGCGAGCTGACACACCTCCACATGAAGTACTTGACGCCCTCCCTCTTCGCTGCATCAACAAGATTCTTCCCTTATGCGATCTCCCCAGCGCCTTTCGGGTCCGCCGGAAACACCGCCGGGTCTCAGAAGTTGGTGACCTGATCCAGCTGGATCGGCGTTGCAAACTTTACTAGTAAAGAAGCGACGCACGCCAAAAACAACTTGAACCTCGCTTCCCCGGACGGCGTTCTTCAGCGACTCCTTATCGAAGAGGTCGGCTGCCCCAACTTCGATGCCGCGCGCGATAAGGGCCTTGCTTGGCGCAGAGTCGGCGCTCCGAGAAACGGCCCGGGGGTGAAAGTCCCATCGGCAAGAACAGCTTCGAGGACCGCAGTTCCTAAGGGAGGCAAATGAGCGGTAGTACATAAGTTCGCAAACCTTGCGCGCCATTTGCGCCGAAGACTGTGAAGATGCGAGACATTTAGAAGGTATTGAAGGTGATCGAAGAGATGAGAAACTGGGGAAAGGGCACTCGACGCCATGTTTATCTATATAAATATGCCTGCGAAAGAGAAGGAACCGTGACGGCGCTGGCGAAGGGTCTCAATGCCGATCTTTTGTCCCGTTCGCAATTCATCGTGGTGAGGTTGAGCGGACCGGTAAAAAATAGGAGCCTCACGGAAGAGCTGACGGACATTAGTAGAGTATTATTGTAATAGTTCATAACAGGGGAAGCTACTTGAAGCTCCCAAACTGCCAATTATAGCAATCCTATCCGAGAATGAATTAATGGCCGGGGAAGACAAAAGGAAAATCCTCACCACACAATCTTCCTGCACATCTACCTCCGGCACCTCTCGTCCTCCACGTCTGACCCCGTCTGGCCCTATCTCACCCAGCTCCCAGTCTTCGTTCAACACTTTGTCGATGATGAATTGGATTCCATGCTGCCGCGAATCCACGCTCCAGCCCCGTTTCGTGACAGTGTCGTAGAGAACGCGTTGACCAAGATGACATTTGGACTCGAGAGCGTAGCCACCGAGCGCGCAGGTGGAGGTAACGCCAGTGCATGTGCCCATCGGGATCGGCTTTTGGGAGGGTTGAGACTGCGAAGAAAATAGGTTTGGATACATACATCGCCAGTATGATAGACGTGGGTTATGTGGTGTGTGGAGGGCTGCAGAACCATTGAAATGATTGCTATAATACGGGCGAAAGTAATACCCACTGGAGAAGGCAGATGCAAACGTGTCGCCGCCATCTTCTCGCCTGGAGTCTCAAATGCAACAACAGGAACACCGAATGTCGCTCCAAGAAGGGCTGCAAGAGATCCTCCAAGACTATGGCCTAGCTGGGTTAAAAACCAAGGATGAACGTGTGGCAATGAACCCACCTGTGAGCCAGATGTTGGCATTGGGATACATGTAGACAACATTGCTGTAAAGATTCTAGAACAATGCTCAGCGGAAGAGCCAGAAAGCGGGGGACAACGCACAATTCCAACATGATAAAACAGACTGTCTTCCACCAACGCCTCCTCCACACAATCCTGATCGCACTTGTCTCCGCCAGCATAACACCCGCAGACCGTTGACCATGTTGGACCCACCCGTGCACAGCAACACGAGAACAAAAGGTTATCGTTCAGCTTGTCTTTCTTCTTCGTCGGTCCCTCCCCACCCGCAAGCCAAGGCGCCGAAGTGCCTTTGACAGAGATGACAACGGTGCTATTATCATCGCTGACGAAGACGTGGCCCCGAAAGCCATCGGCGTCCGGTTCCCATCCAAACGGCACGCTCTACAAGCTATGTTGTCAGACAAGTGGCAATGAACAACGAGCACGCACCGTATTCCAGCCATCCAGCGGGTACCACGACTTATGGCCCGGATCTCCATAGTAGGAGTTAGACGTCATCTCCGCAAGCTGCAGTAGTGTCTGACGCTTCGATACGTCTGGCCCAGCGACTTTCTTGCGTCTCCAGCCAAAGCTCAATGGTGTCTGGCCATGCCGCATCGAGTGGAGTCTTGCGTCATCAAGCGCGGAGAGTGAGGGTGCCTGGTGTGTGTCGAGTTGCACCGTCGGAATGGAAAAACTTGGTTCTCTGAAAGACGAGGATGGTGCAATGTCTGTGAAGAGACTGCGCGATCCGTTGGCGAGGGCATGGGCGTGGCGTAGGGTGAAGCGGAGAGGTGGGGCAGAACGTGATACTATGTCATTATCATGTATAGAGGAGCCTAGTAGTGCATTGAGCATGAGCCAGAGGCCATTGGGGAACATGGATGTCGAGGTGGAGGTGAGTGGTGCACGTGGTAAGCGTGACTCGGAAACGGACCTCTTCTCAGGTCGATGCGGAATCATTGCGGATAGTGTTTAAGACGACGGGCATACCACCGCGATGAGCACCGAACCACTCCCTGGCCCTCATCAAGACATAGAATACCTTTCGCTTCCGCGTTTCAACCGCTCCCTCGACTTCGATTTCACAGTCAATGAGGAAACCTACAATGCGACAGTCTCTTACGCCCTCACATATGCGCCTGACGAGACGACCTGGCCTGTCCTGGTATTTTTCAATGGACTAGGAGGCCATCGTCTCATTGCTGCGCTTATCGAAGGCATTGTACGCGAGCATGGTGTCCAAGTGCTCACTATCGACAAACACGGAGCCGGCGAATCTAAAGTGGTGAATCTGCCAAAGAACACACCATTTCCACTGGAGGCCCGGACCCGCTTCATGCATACCGGCCTGCTTGCCGTTCTCGCTCGCCACAACATTACCCAGTTCGCGGTGCTCTCCCACTCAAACGGTCTCTATTACGCCCTGTACTCCCTTTTGAATCTTCCTCCCTCAATCACCCCGCTCAGTTGGACATTAACCGGTCCATTCGTCCCGCCTAGCATCAGCGGGTCGGCCTCTCTCCGATTCGCATCCATGTTACCTGCAGCATTGCCAAATTCTCTGGGTACGATACTACAAGCAGCCCCAGCATTAGGAGCAGCCGTTAACTGGAGTGGTGGAATCCTCTCCACCAGCGCTGGACTGTTTTCCGGTGCTAACAAGTATGATGAGGAAAGCGACACGAAAGGCTTTCTGGATCGTCATATTGGCCCTAGCTTGCGTTCGGAGGCGATGCGACGTGGTCTGGCAGAGTCCAAGATTTCTATGGGTCAGGAAGCTGTCTTTAGTCTGCATGGTGGGGAACCGGCTGCGGATAGCGACAGCGCCAATTGCATCTGGGGTATCGGGCCTGGCTCAACCGACGGTGACATCCTCAAAGGCGCATTCGAGCGTATTGCAGAACGTTACCTGCACCCAAGCTGCCCACCCGGAATCCAACTCAGCGTCAACGTTGTATATGGTGCAGCAGACGGGATGGTTCCAAAGCAAGGCAGAAACTGGTTGAGGGAGCTGTTGGAGACAACAGGACTGATTGGAGAGGGCGATAAGCGTGCGTGGATTGAGATCCCCGATGCCGGTCATGATGATATTCTATTCTTGGAAGAGGTAGTCGGTTGTATATTGCGGAGGGTAATTGGGTAAAAAGTGGTGTAATAATAAGTATTCCTGTCTTGTTTAAGTCAAAGGATTGAAAGGAATGACTTCCAACTTCCAAGTAGTGATTCATTATTCTTATCCTGTAAGCACAAAGCTCTCCAGTTTTGTTCCAGTGTTGAGACTCATAACCAGCGAAAGAAGACAAAGCTTGCAGATAAGCACTACTTAGTAGTGTGGATCTAGCTTGCACGCACGTGAGCGCGGTACGAAGGTGACCCATCACACACATGATGTGACACCTCGTTCCCTTCGTATTTCCTCGAACTCGCCCTGTCTCTTACTCCCATGGATAAACGCTTTGGGGCAGAAAGTATTCTAGGATTCGGTGGAGGTATTGTCTCAGAAGCCTCCCAAAAAGCGTAAGTATTGAAACTGTGATCAATGGCTCGGAATTTTTGGCCACTAATGACCTGCAGAACCGAAAAGGCCGCCGACTTGTGTCGTCGCAGACGGCCGAACGAGGCTGTACCGTATCTCATGGAGGCTATCAAGGATCCTAACAACCTTGACGCGTACATCGAACTCGCTTTCATCTCCCCCGACCCAGTTGACGTCCTAGAAGTCGCTGCACTTAAAGGTGCCGTAGAACTCTGCAACGTCGTCGTCGCCATCAATAACCTTCGCAGGACGGAAGCTGCTGTTGAATATTCTGGGTCCAACTGCGTTCGCCGACACGGGCCCTTATGTTGGCAAGTTTTGGGATATTGCGCCGGCGCGTCCATATATGCGAATTCTTCAAGCCCAAGTGCGGCTCTACGTGGAGATTAAACAAGCATATAAAAAAGCGGCGTGAGCTTCTCTTCTGCTGTAAGTATCACACCGACTCACCATCTAGTGCGACCGCCATCGAAATGTTGCGCCTTTGTCCGGGCGACAACATGGGCCAGCGCAGCTGGCTCGGTGCCCTTCTCTTGCACAGTTCTCGTCCAGCCGACGCACTCTACTTCTCCCAAATCTGGATCGACAACTTTACCGCACGCACTCCTGAAAATGCGATTCCTGCTCGGGGCGGCACCGATTTTAAGGCGCCACGAAATGGCGTAATACCGTCCGCGCGAGATGGCTCAGACTGGATGCCCGCCGTCCATCTATATGACTCTGCGTTGGCAGCATTCATGTTGTACGGCGCCGATTCCGAAGAAGCACGCGAGTATCTCAGGCTAGCAGCCGCGGCTAATCCGCACATCATCACCAAAATTTTGGTTGGTGCACCTAAGCCTTGTGTGCATTCTCATTCTTGTTCGAACGCTCGTTTGATGTTACCCCAGCTTCACAGAACCACGCTCCTCGTCAGCCAAATGGACCAGAGGATGCACAAGACTACCGTTGGCTCGCCCACGAGTTGTGGACGGCATCGGCGGTCCTCAACTGGGTGAAGGAGTGCATGAAAGCCGGTGGTTGGCATGTTTTTCTTTTCTGTGTGTGTTTGCTGATGGAGCCGCTGGAGCAGAACCCGCCTCATCGAAGTCGTTATCTGATATCGTCCTGAAACGATGTGGCAATCCGGCCTGCAACGAGCAAGAAGCCCAAGTTCAAGAATTCAAGCGCTGCGCGGGATGTCATCTGGTATGTCCATCCGTTTCGTCCGGCCTGGGTCTCATCTCATCATTCTATGCAGATCTCCTACTGTGGTTCCGAGTGCCAAAAGACGGACTGGCGTCGACACAAACAAGGTAAGCCGAGCCTCTCTTGACTACCGACACTTACGCTATCGCAGCTTGCAAGGAGCGTGAGCAGATCAAGCAAGCACGTAAAGGACTTATGAAGGGGAAAGGGAACGTCACCGACATGCCGGTGTTTACGCTCGACCTTGCTGGGGGCGTGCCCGTGGTCTACGACGGGGAGAAGCGAAAGGCCATGCCGATGCCTTTTCCAAGCAGTTGAAAAGATGGAATATGAACACGAAGTTGTAGGAAAGGAAATAACAAGCTCAACAGTAATCTTAACAACTACTCATTAATAATTGACCAAGAAACGCTATCAAAGCTGTGCGTCGAGTTACTAATGTCGGCCTTTTGGTTGAGCAGAAGCAGACCTTTGAGTAAGTCTTTGACAAAGCCTGCGCAAGGCATATCATGCAGGAAATCATGTACATTCGTCAGGCTATACTTTTAGTTATCGTACAAACATTAGATTATCTACGAAAAGTGCTTGAGGACACCCTCCTTGATGAACTGGTCGAGCGTGCCGAACTTGACGCCGAGCGCAGCGAGCTTGGGGTTCGGGATGGCGTCGGGGTACATGCCCTCGGTTTTGGCTTGGAAGAGGAACTGGTAGGCGGAGTCAGATGCGGTACTATGATCCAGAGGAACAACGCACCATCTCATCGAGCTCAGCCATGCCGGTGGTCTCGACGCTGAAGAAGTTGACGGGCTTGCCAAGTGCTAGGGGTTACATGTTAATTGCAAGAAGAAGACGGAAGGCAACAGCAACATACCCTTGGAGATGGCGGCAGCGAGCTCGGGGTAGGTGAATTTGAGGGTGACGACGGGGAACGAGCCGCCGAGGATGCCAACCTCCTTGCCCTTGTCGGTGTTGTAGTTTTTGGCGAGGGCAAGAACAGCTGGGCCGAGGTCGTTCTTGACCCAGGTCGCTTGTTGCTTGTCGGTGGCGCTGTATTTCGGGATCGGGATGGTGTAGCCGTTGCCGGACTCGGCGGGGACCATGCTGCCAAATGCCCAAAGGTTTTCGCCGAACCAGGCGGTGTAGACGATCGAGTGGGGGACGCCAGAAGCAGCAAGATAGTCACCAACGATGGCTTTGTCTGAGGGAATCGTAAACATTTACGGCGACGAGGAAACATGGGAGACAACGCACTGTCGCAGTGGTAGACGTGCTTCCACTCGCCCTTGCTGGCCTCAGAAATGTTGGGCAGCGAGCTAGCGGCAGGTCAGATGGTGTTGTTTTCGCAGCTTCAGACGTCGCACCTCCACAAGAGGTACTTGACACCCTCCTCCTTCGCGGCATCAACGAGGTTCTTGCCCTGGGTAATCTCGCCAGCACCCTTGGGGTCGGCGGGGAAGACAGAGGGGTCCCAGAAGTTGGTGATCTAATGGAAAAAAAAAGTCAATCAATCAAGTCGAAGCCGCCCTAAAAACCACAGCACGCACGCCAAAGACGACCTCGCTGCCGCGGATGGCCTTCTTGAGCGACTCCTTGTCGAACAAGTCACCGGAGACAACCTCGACGCCGCGGGCGATCAGGGCCTTGCTCGCGTCGGAGTCGACCTTGCGCGAAACAGCGCGGAGGGTGAAGGTCCCGTCAGCGAGAGCGGACTCGATGATGGCAGCGCCTAGCGCATGGTCAACAAGCAAGAAACACGTCAAAAAGATGAAAGGGCTCACCCTGCTTTCCGGTCGCGCCGAAGACGGTGAAGATGCGTTTAGACATGGCAGAGATGGGTTGTAGAGTTCAAGGGAGCAGATGAAGTGTCCATTGTCGCGCTTCCTCGCAGCCCTTTATACCGTTCCGGACCCCAAGTTGGCGACGCGTCTTCTGCGACGTGGTGGTGGGTTCTGACCAAGCTTTGCTAAGCGAAAGCGGTGGTGCTACGCGGTGATGCGCGCAGTGAGACGTGGTCACCCCCGCTTTGTCAGCACTTGTGACCCTGAGAACATCGACTGTGAGTGTCAGCTTCTTGCCGCAGAATAAAAGAAGCTCGAACTTTCAGTGGAAAGATGATTACTGCCTGATCACGCCGCACAGGATTACCTACCTCTAGAGCGGCGTTCCGCATTGGACAGGCTTCGAATCCGCTATTCAGCACCATTCACGTCCAACGGCTCGACAACAACGAAATGTTTTATGTTCATGTATTTACTAAAGAGAATCATCTCTCGACTCTGAGTCAACCGAGGTCCGAAGCACGCATGGCGCTTCCAAAATAGGGCGGTGGATGCTCAAGTTCCGGATCGGGCAGCAGTGTTTGCCCATTTACTCTTGCCTCCAGCTCCGCAATCCGTTCGGCCAGTAGACGCACATCGACAGAGTCCGTTTGAGAGGGTGATACCATTCGAGTTTCGTGGCTAATGCCAGGTATGTCAAGAGCCTGTACACCTTCTCGAGTTGTCGAAACAGCTGCCGCGTCATTCTCTGATTTTCCTTGGCTCTGTGGAAACAGCGGAATGAGATTATCGATGGCATTTCGAGGATCAACGAAGCCGCTGCTGACAAGATTAATGTCAGAGCCCTGCAGCATGCGATGAAAAGGCTGGTCCACCGCTCCCATGCGGCCTCGTGTCTGTCGATTCCGCCTGCGGTACCACAGGAACAAAAGGAGGACCAAGACCGCAACCGCGGCGAAAAGTGGGCCCAGAATCTTTGCGAGTCCTCGGCGATGATCGTGCCCAGCAAGTTCAGAACTGGTTTGAGAGGGATTATTCTCAGAGACAGGGCTGGATATCGATGGAGATGAAATCTTCGAGCGACTAATAAATGTCCCTCAGATCATTCCAGGTTTGTGTCAAAGGAAACGAGAAGCACCTGATCGAGGAGGGTTGACCCGATGGAGAATGAGAACTGGACTTGCAGTCAGGTCTGTCTCTAGTTAACGAGATAGATAAGAGCCCCTCACGATGAGATGGGAGTAGAGGACGCTCGACTGAGAAAAGGTTGTTAGCTACGCTGTCTGCATTATGAAGAGGAACAATCAAGACCGTGTGGAGTCAGCCTCAGGCTGAGAATCGGTTCCACTGGGCTGTGGCTTGGTGCCCGTTTGTTCTTGACTTGTTCCGGTGCTCGGCGATCCGCCAGTTGTCGGGGGTGGAGCAGCTTCACTGTTTACACCCGCAGTAACAATAGCATAGTCGATCAAGGCTACTTGGACATGCACTCCCGTGCTTTGGTGGGTATCCAGAACCCAAGTAACGGCGTAAGTCTTCTCAGGGAACCCTGAAGCCGAAAAAAAGGGCACGGAATAGACGTAGTTCTCGTTTCCGGAATAATGATGTGTAGAGACGACATTCCCACTAGCGAGAGGAAGAGTGAAGACAATGTCGGCCTGAATGTTCCATTGGTCGATTCCATAAATATATACAGATGATCCTGGCACACAGTTAGCTATGCATGATAAAGCATTCTGGTTTACATGAAAATGCACCAGTGAAAGTGAAAGAACCCCCCGTCGGGTTTGTGTTCCCTGCCGGGAAATTTCCGTCGTGCCAAGTACCGCCACGTGTTCGAGATGTATCGGGTTGAGAGGCGCAACCCGAACATGGAGATGCTGGAGTTATCGAAGTCCATGTCCCCCACCAAGAAAAACTGCTATCCGTATCGTCGAATGTCGTATTGGTTGCCCCGGCTGAAGTTTGGCGTGGAAATAGAAGAAACACAGCGAGAACGAGAGAGAGGAGAAGCGAGTGTAGGATCCGAGGCATTATCCAGGAGAAAGGTCTGGAGCAGATGAGGGTGCTGAACGATGTTACCAATGCAAGGGTGGAAAGAATGCAATCGCCAATCGGTGGTTGACCTGATATTGAAATAAGAGCCGTCTCTAGCTTTCCACCAATAGTAGAGACCCCGCCCATTGATCATCCGGACCAGGAAGATTCACTAAGATTCAAAAATAGTTGTGAAACTTCAGTTTTTTGCGCTCAGCCAGGCAGAGAGCCGTTCCCCACTGTAATTTACTGGCGAGTAGGCAAGTCTCTCTTCTGTGCGAATGCTAGCCCACCCAGAACGTCTCTGAGGTTATGTTAGTGTCCGGTATATCGTAGCTTCATACATTCGTACTGGCACACACTCTGTCAATTGTGCACGAGTCTTCGTCGTCTGTTGTTGGCTCCAAGGCCGCCCAGACCTGGCGCCCATCGTGATGCGGTTGCCACTTGAGAGCCTTCCTTCGCGGTGCGGCCAGTACTTATTTTGTCGATGTTGAGGGATGTCGACCATTCGACCATGTGATGTCACGGGTCACAATACTGATTCGTGGCCACTCACAGCCGTGATTCAAAAATGTTTAGGTGGGAAACGTTAGTGGGAATATATAAAATTTTGCAATTAATTTTTTATTGTGTAAAAAACTTTGAGTTTTTCTGCCCAAAAAATGTTGACTTGGCTGGGGCAACAGGATTTTTAGGACCAAAATATTTAATGTTTTGCAATGAGTTTTTGGGCCAAGAAAAACTTTATATATTCCCACTAACGTTTCCCACCTAAACATTTTTGAATGGCGGCTGTGACTGGCTTGAAGCTTGAAGTCATCGGTTAGGGTTAGGTTAGGTTAGGTTAGGGTTGACGGTCTATTTGTTCATTCGAAGATTCACTTCCAAGTTCCTTGATTTCGATATTTCGCTGCCAGCAGATGCGGCAGCACAACACGAGCCTCGAGGAGCTTACTTTGCTTTTTCTGCCAGTGCAACACGCGATTTACCTTCGCTGGGCTATCCATTTCCCATTTCGCAACTCGAATTCTCGATTTTTTGAAGACTCTAGTAGCCCGCTTGCCGCAGTCGACCCTCATAATCTCCATATGTACACCACAACTTCTTCACTTCCTAACAATTCCGTGGGCCCTCAAAATCTTCCTCTTGGTCCCATTTAGCTCTATGGCTTACTTAAGCCTACATATGTGCCAAGAGTATCTTCGTCTATTCTGCCGTATTATCATCTGCTGCAGGGCTTGACACCTACGGTCTCAGGAGTCAGTTCTACTTCCGCAATTTGTCTCGCTGCTGCCACGTCTCTTACGGTTGGTCGTGCCTCCCCTTTACTACACTCTGAGTGCATGGGATGATCCACCGTCTTCTGCAAAGATCCACTGCCAGTGGCATATACAAACTAGTAATTTCTGCTACATACTAGTAGTTCCCTTTTTATCGACTGATTCAGAGCCCAGAGCCAATGACGACGTGTTTTGCGACGAAGTCAAACAGTTCAGAAGCTCTGTTTGTACCTAGGAGTGCGTCAACGTAGTCTGGACGATTGCTACCTTATCCAACATCTGGAACTCGCTGTCGAAAAAGATGTCTGGTGGCTGCAGAGCTGCAGGAACGAGCAGCTGCTCCTCGACGTCATAAACGATTCAAGTTGATACAAGTTGTGTCAACAACATTTCCAAGTTGGTAATACACCTAGTTGTTTCGGACTCGGAAACAATGACGCTCTATCAGATGCAGATGTTGACTTAGACTCACTGGATCTTCAGAACTATCTTTCTTCGTGGATGGGCACTTGTGTTCAATCTAAACCGCTGATACCGTATTGTTGAACCGATTTATGTCCCAAATTATCTACAACTGGTTACTGAGTTCGGTACACATTACTCCGTGTCATTTATTATTCAAGTACTAAGATAAGTTCATCGTTGGCTTCCCCGTCGAGTCGAGAAATGATTATCCTGTCAACGATACCCAGAGTGGTATCCGTTCTGAGAATAGGCGTCATATGGCGAGTAATACCCCGTGGCGGGATTAGCGGCGGGTGGATACCCAGTGTTACTGTAAGAATAAGACGCGGCCTGTTCGTGGGCGTACACCGGAGCGTATTGAGAAGGTGGGTTATCCGTCTCTCCAGACAGCGACAGGTTGGGGTACTCTCCTGTCGGATATCGGGGACGATGGTTGACGGGGGGCGGCCCGGTGTACGGCAGGTTCGGGGGCTGAGGCGGCGCAGGGAGGATCGGGCGCAGCCGGGCCGGGGCGTAGGACCCCGTATGTGGCGTCGCAGGCTTGGCCTTTGCTGGGCTCGGGGCAGACGACGTCGAGGACGCTGGGACCGCGACATACTGGCATGAAAGCCCTTTGCGAAGGCAGCGGGCACATGCTACCGATGGCGCGCGTGCGTCGGGAACACACTGGAAAATAAGAATGTCGGCTGGAGACTTTGTTTGTTAGACAAAAGACATACCTTGATATTGTTCTGACGGCAACTAAGGCAAACGAGCTGGGGAGAGGCAGCCATGATTTGAATTGTTTGGTTCGTTACTGGTGCGCTGGTTGGTTTAGTTAGCTCTGGTCTGGATAAGAGGGACAGTTGATGAGGAAGGAGCCAGAGAGCCAAAGCTTAAATAGATGGACTGGTAGGTAGATTGGCTCCCTACGGAGTCAGCCTGACGGACCAGTCAACTCGGAGCTGTATTACGGAGGAATAGCGAGTAGAGTTGTACTTCGCACAGACACACCCGAGAAAAGCAGATATAGATGTATTTGGGCATGCTGTACGCGTCGCGTCGAGTATCGCGGTGTCGTGATATGGCAGCCGCCGTAGTCTTGCACGAACACAGTCAAGATGACGCGCTTCAACTCCTGGCGCTTCGGGATAGGAACAAGCCGAGAGCTCAGAGCTTTAGATTGGAAAGGTCATTTGTCGACGGGCGCAGTGGATGGATGTTTGTGCAATAAACAAGAGACGCTGTCGTCGTGACAATGATTTGTTTTGTCTAGATTGTGGGAAGATAGTGGTGATCGACAAGTGCGGCAGATGCGGCCATCGATTGTTGCAAGTCAACCTGAACGATTTGGAGTCAACTCAACACAATGACGGCCCAGCACTTATCATCACGCGAGTTGAAAGTCGTAAGTTCAATATGAAGGCGGGTCCACGTCGAAGTCGCGCTTATCAGGCTCATCTCGCTGAAGTCGTGCTTCATTTCAGAACACAGATTTCCCCGAAAAAACAAATGATTACTCACCACAAGCTGCTACAACGTATACAAGATTGATAGAGGATATCGACAGAGTTCACTTCGGCGACAGTCTTCTACTTATCAATTATCAGTTTAGGTAGCCTTGATGATCTACGCTGTCGACGTGGACTGGATCGGCACCGACTGCTCTGCCATGCGCCTAAATCCGTGGCATGTCGTTCCTACCTTATGTAATTGGACGGACTATTTCCGTTCCCGACTCGGGGAGCGGTCAGCGCAGCATGTCATCTCTACATGAAACGCAATTTCTTTCAGGCTAGTCTCAAATGCCAGCAGTGTGCCGAAAAGTGGTGACCCCACTTGAGGTTGATTGCTTTGGAATAGACGACGAATACCTGGTAGATGTTAAATCAGTTCGGTGAACCTTGCGGCTGCGCATTCATTTCCCTCCAAGCGCTTCCTAGCGTTAATCCACCAACACCCAAGATTAAGCCAACAGCCTTTACTAATCCACCCGTCGGCAAACCGCGCCGCACGAGCTCTAGGTCGATTTTCTTCTGCACCGACATACCACTTAGTCCAGCCAACAGCGCGGCGACAATCGTCTCAGCGTTATACACCGAATATTGTGTTCTGCCTGTGTTGATGCTGTCGAAATGTTGCAAGAGTTCGGTAACCCTTAAGATGTCGAAGATCAGTAAATTGGTTGGGATAAGGCTGGCGGGGACGCCAATTGCGGCTCCTGTTGAAATTGAGCCAAGTGTGATCAAGCGGAGAGTAGATATCGCAGAGGGTGGCGTCTATATCCATAGCTTTGAGACGGCGTGACTCAGATTTGGCAACCTTACCTTGATAATGGCCTCGAATGTCCTAGGCAACGCTCCGGCTACCAGACCCCAGCCGCCACCAATCCAACCCAATATTTCGGACTGAGCCCTATAACATAATGTTAATGCTTATTCATAGTCAGTTGTGGGAGTTGTCTAACCAAAGGCTAGCAAAACGACGCGGCATGCCAGCATTGGGATTTCTATAGTCCGTGCGGAGATTTGGCTGCTCCGTCGTTGAAGATGTGTCGCCCATAAGCAAGTGATAAATAGACGGAAATATAGGGCAGAGGTATCGCCTTTCCTGTATGTTGTAGTATATACTAGTAGTTTCGGATGATCTCGGCTGGAGCTTCCGAAACATGGCGAGAAACGGGACCCAAGCATTCGATAGTATGATACAAAAAGGAATGTTGTACGCCACTGCTTGTTTGATTAAGTTGAGACCTGCGGACTTGGCCTCATCACGGTCAGGTTCCAATTGACAGCACTGAAATTGTCGCACCAGCACGACTTTGCGAACCCATTGAAATGGATTGTAGTTTGGTTCCTCATAGCATTTGAAGGCCCGAGTTCGCAAGTTTCCCGTCACAAAGGACTAGTGAATAACCCGAGGCCAAGTCGTTGACAAAGATAGGAGGCCAACACGAAGACCAGATTCATCGCTCCCACACAGCGTTGAGCTCCCAGTCGCCAATCTAGCCCGTCTCGTAGGTCGCGACGATGTTAATATGGGTCTTTATCGCCTCATCCGTGAAGCCGAAGAATGTGAAGATGGTTACCCAAAAAGTGACTTTGAATTTCGAAACTTGCGACCAGAGAAGCCAACGATGTGGGAAGTGCGCGAGAAATTAGGGCCCATCAGATTCATGCGAGAACGGAAATGCTGGAGTTCGAGCCCGGAGTTAAAGCAGGTAAGCAGTGCGATCAAGATGGAGACTGGTGTTCGGATGAAGTCTGAAGAAAAGAAGTCCATGAACTTGACTGTAAGGATGGACGGAGCACTGAAGGCTACTCACACCCAACCAACAGAAATATGCGGAAGATGGAAGAGAATCGTGGCAATGGGGGGGGTCGAACAAGGTCGAACCTCGGAAAGGGAAGTAGTGGTCCATGCATTGTCTTGAACGTGATATACCCTAGCCTCAAGTTCGTCACATCGAAAGAACACTAGACAGGAAACGCAGGGAGAAGAACCTGAGGTAGAGGCAGCCCCAACCCGATCCAAGGGAGACGTTCAAGTTGATGGCACGGCGTTACTTGTGTTTTGTCTTGAATACAGTCTTCACAGTGGCGATCTAGTGAAAATGACCGTTATTTTGTTGACGGGGAGCCGTTTATATCATACAAAGCCAAGGGCTGCTGGAAAGTTAGACCTAATACCCAAGAACAACGAGACAAAAAATCACGATTCACCCTGTGGAGTAAAGCTAAACGAAGCCAACAAAGAAACTCATACAAGCCATTTTGGGGTCCCAATGAGTCCGAAACATGCAACTTCGTGATCTAAAAAGTCCTGAAAGGAAGAGGAAATAAGTTAGCATGAACCTAGAAGCCGCAGCATGTAGATGACCGACGGGACGCTGACAACTCGGAGAAGGTGTCCGATTAATTCTCGGTCTCAAGGCTTCAAGGTTGAGCTTTCAGGTATAGCGCAAATACATGTAAAGTTGAAGGAATTCACAATCACTGGCGTCACTGTGACCCTGGCGTCACACGGCGGCGTCACACATACACCATCTGTTTCTTGAATTCTTCCTCATTCGAAGATTGACTTCTCTTCGCGGAAGCCAAGCAAAACCCATAAATACTCCACTCACACAAGTTGCATGCGCTTCAATGTACACACGTTCCAACCCACGAATTTAAACAAGCTCAAGCCCTAATTCATCTCCGCTTCCGCTGAATTCCAATACCCCTGTTGTACTCCTCTCTTGCACAACACCATGGCGCGTAGCTCAAGGGATATATTTGTTGAGGAGAACAATTGGGATGTTCGTTTTTCTGGTAACTGGACGCACGAGCGAGGTCGGATGTTCCATGCTGGCGGGCTCATGCGGACAGAGGAGGTTGGTGCATCAGTCGCAATAACTTTTTGGGGTGCGTTCGAAGTCGTCCGTGCTCTGTCCACTGACTCGGCGAAATAACAGGTACTGGAATCAAGCTCCTTGGCTCGCTCGGTTGGAATCACTCTCAACTCGCAATCACGCTCGACGGTGGCAATATGACGATCTTCGACGCGTATTGCTGCCCACCAACAGGGAGTGTCGTGCAAGTCGTTCAGTTTTCTGTGTCTGGGCTTGGACGTGGTGCACATACCCTCAATGTGACGAATGTAATGGCAGGACCACACGGAACTGTATTGGATGTCGATGCTTTTATGTGCGTTTACTTTTCGTCGCCACTCGTTTATGGATCGCTTATACGGTAATCTGCACAGTGTGACTCGGCAGCCCGTCGATATCTTAGCACTCTCGGTGGCTGGCGCTCTTGTCCTTCTCTTCATGTTCTGGATGGTATGGGTCCGTCGGAAAGAGATGTACCCATTTCTATCCCACTGGGCATCTCCTTGGCGTAAACTCAAAACCGACTCAGAAGCACAGAATGCATACCAAATGGTGCCAACCAGCATTTCAACCGAGGACTTAGCTTCATCGGACGAGACTGCGAGATGCATTATCGGAGACGATGAACAATCTGAAGAGGATAGCGTGGTTGGTGGACTGAGAGAATCAAAACCGTTCGGAAAGCCACGATTGATCCCAGATCTCGTGGAGTTATAGATGGAAATGGCATTGACGCATGCGAGGAATAGCGAAGAGATGTAACAGTTGAGCTTGGCTGCATTTGTATCGAAGTTGTGGGGTCAGCATGTGTGTTAATCTTCTGGTTTTAATTTGCAGACTGATATCTTTTGACTGGACAGTTTCAAATTCTGACCGCAACTCGATGCGTAAGTGGTCGGCGGGAAATTTGCCGCCCAAGTGATGGATTGATGACGAGCGCTACATTTTCTCCTGAACCACCACCTCATTAACCTCAATGGCTCAATACCTCCCGAACGAACTCTTCGATGAGATTCTCAAGCATATACCGGCTTCCGGTCACCAGCTCATGGCATTGACGAGCCGTCGTCTCTGTGGATTGACACGTCCATTCCTGTTCGCCGAGCTTCAATTCATACCGTACCATTACGGCCGAGACCCAGCAGACAACCGAGAAATTGTGCAGCTCCATTCGCTAGAAAACACCAAAGAATACGAAGCGCGTCTTGCTTTTGTCACTTCAGAGGATATCGCGCCACTGGTTCGTTCAGTCCAGATCGATGTCGTCGAACGCAAAGCACATGTTAGACCGTGGAATGAACCTCCAGAGCCCCGCGGAGAAGGGGTTAACGCGCTTCTACACCTCCTTCTTTCCAATCTGGAGCGGTTCCAAGCCTTGACCAGTTTTCGGGCAGAATTCACGTTTCTCCCAATGGAAACTGTCGCCTTCCTCGACCGACGCATTTGTCGCTCACATCGTCCTCTGGTGGGCCTCCACCTTATACATTGCGATTATCTGGACGAATCAACAACAATTGCGGCCAACACGATCATCAAGCCACATTCGTTGCGTCTTACCGACTTGACTATACGCCCGGCTAAAACTCGTCCAAATGATAGCAGGACCTGGTTACATCTGCTTGACCCCGACACATTGCGATGTCTGTATATCTCAGATGCATGGCTAGAACGAGGGAAAACCTTGCCTGTCTTTCCGCATGTCCACAGCCTGACATTAAAACGGGTTCCAAGTCACGAGGATGTGATTCCGCATCTTCAAGCCGCCATAACATCATTTCCCAACTTGGAAATACTTCGAGTGGATTATTTCACCGGAGGCTTGAGCCCTGTTTTGTTAATCCAAACTAATGCTGCGGCATTTCCGTACCTTCGTGAATTTACTGGCTCAGCAGAAAACGCCGTCACATTTCTGGCCTATACCCAAGTCACCTGTCTTCAATTGCTCGACCTAGACGAACCCGTATCCCAAGTCAGCAGCCTCGCAAAAATAGCTGGCGGGATGCCCGCGAGTGTCAAATCTCTCAAAGTTGGCATCCTCACCCGTTCGTCCAGTGTGAAAACCTTGCGCAAACTTCTGCTACTACTCCCGAACCTCACTAGGCTATCTTTGCGAATCAAGACCTCAATGCATCCGGATTGGAAGCCATACAAATATGTGCGTCGTCATTTCCGTGGTTGGCATGTTCCCTCAACTCCTTGCAGCACCTCGATATAGTCAGCAAGATACACAACATCCTGCCGCGCTCCTTAGAAGAACTGGTCGTTTATAGCCAAGGCATGGTTCGCATCAGTACAGGCAACCTAAAACCTGGAACATTTCCGCCTTATGATACAGCCTCTCTCCGCTATCGTCTTCTGTTGCGTTGTCCTCGAATGCGCTCTATTCTTATAGAATTTCATACTTTCTTCCTCGAATGGAAGGCCGGGCTGGGTGGGGAGGACGAAGAAAACACGCAGACTTTTAACATGTTTGTGCTGGCGTTTTTTATCACTGCGTTGGGCCATAGCGCTGACGAAATCTTGCTATATAGGTCTGACGACGAAGATGGCGCTCGATTTCCGACTCGAAACCGTACTTACAAAGAGTCACAAGTAGATGTTTAAGCGTCGGCACAAAGAAAGCATAGATCAGCTTCACAACACTGTTTGAGAGGCGTTGATTACTGGTTGACCACTGGCACGTCAGACTCCATCGTTGATTGCATATTGCCATTTGTATGATTCAGAGAGGCTATATTGTAATGTGAAGAGACACTGCCCCAGACTTTGTTTGAGCCTTTGCGTTGCATTGATATACATGTGCTCATAGGTACGTTCTTGTGAAGATCCTTCTCGGTCTGCTCACACATCATCATGATCGTGTGACTTTTCAATCAACTGGCCGTGACTCTGTCACAAGCACTGCTTGCCGAAAAACACCTTCAACTTCAAACAAGTCTATAGCAAAAGGAGAGAAGAAGCTACAAGCGGACAGCACAACAACAACGCGCACTCATTCCACGTCTTCCATGATTAAAAACAAAATTCACAGCCAACAACTTGAAGCAAACGCACTGCCTGCTCAGTGCTCAGAGTGATCCGCTCTGGCGAGCGGCTTATTTTGCAAGGATGTTCTCCCGACCGCGGAGCCTGTACGCCCACCGCATTCGTCATAATCTATTGTAGTCTATTGTGCGCCCACTCGAGAGCAACGGATCAGTCTTAGGCTGTACGAATCAATACGATATAGCAAATCACCCCTTCGCTTGATCAAGATGTAGACGGTGGCGGTGAGCAAGTCCGCGTTGGTATTATGTTCGCCTGCTTTGATGGCGCATGTAGGCGCGAGGGCGAGGCTAGTATTTAGCATCGAAGTCTCTACGTGTCTTGCACAACAAGTTTCCGAGTCAGAGCTTACAACACTCAAACTAAACTTGGACTTGACAGCTGGTTCAGCACATATAGATGGATTCGACGAAGACCAACTTGAATTCCTCTCTTTCTTCGCAACCGCTCCGAATGCGTACAATTATAGCCTGCATAAATTGTCGCAAACGTAAATCTCGAGTTTGTCCTCCTCCTTTTTAGGCCTATGGTTTACTCACTGGTGCATTTGATAGTGTATTACCACTGAACAACCACCAACCAACCCTTGTGCCCGCTGCGCTGCCAAAAATCTTCCCTGTCAATATATGACGGTCCCAGAAGGCGAAGCAAATTGGCCATCCAGTTATACTTCGACCTCGCATTCGCGTTCCCGCTCTCATTCGTCTGGCTACTCCGCATCGAGCTCGCCGTCACCTCCAGCAATGTCTAGTACGGCATTCAGTCCTCCATCTCATGCTCACATGTCGGCTCATCCTTGTATTTCGGCGGCGTACGCCGACCTGTCTTCGCGTGCGCGGACCGGGCAGTCGACACATTCCTCGAACTATTTGCCTTACACTGGTCCACCACCAGTCTACGCGCGGCCTCGGTACTCTCATGGTGATTATCCAAATCTCGTCCTGTCCGAGACACAGTTCCATCAGGGTACTGAAGCCATCAACCCGGCTTATATTTCCCAACCTACCCAACCCTTCAACTACGACTCAAACGAATCATACTCGGGATACTATTCACCTTGCGATTCGAGTAGCTACAACTACCTGACCTATCACTGACACGTATGCCAGCTTATTCACCGTTGTAAATTACTGTGCACTGGTGGCGGTCCGACATTATATACCAAAAGTATTTTTTTTGAATTGTGTGCTCGACGTCAGACCTAGCGCTTGAGGAGGTAGACCCTGGATAGAAAGCACGCCATCATCCAGCACATTTTTTTGCTTCCATTCAATCCGGTGCCGACTACTTATCGAGGCAGTGAGACGCCGCCAGGCCCAGCCTCGCGGATCAAACAGTTCGATCAGTATCTCAATCGGACCGAGACGAAGATCTTAATGTTGTCCGACTGGGCCGGTTATTACTGTGTCTATGGGTTGTTAGATCAACTAACATCCCTAGATGTAGTATCAACTTGAACGCGCTCAAGTAATTGTTTCCTGAGGTCGACCGATAAGCTTGACCCCACTAACACCCGCTCCACTGAACCACCTCGTGAGCCCCGCGTTGACACCATGCAGTCCATCCGGCAGCACCTCTGTTCTGTTGCCGACAATAACACGATTCTCCAACAGCTCCGGGAGCGCCTGAATCATGACCTTGCCAAACTTGGTGTGCTCTGCAGTCGCCGCATAGCCAGGAAACGGGCGTTTGGGGGGAAATATGTCAGGACCAGCATACCATCCCAATGTGGCCATAACTTGAACACCTTCCTTTCCAGATCGCGAAAGCACAAAGCGCGGATTGACGGTCAGAACCGCGCCATAGGACTTTACAAGATCGTATGCGATATCGACGGGCTTCGCGTCCTCTGCTTTCGGCGGCCCAAGCCCCAGAGCGGTGTCAAAGACAACATCCAGCGTACCTGCGAGTCCTTGGAGAGCGGGAAATGCAGCCAAGTCTCCGAGAGGAGTGGCATTACGGTCGATGACAAGAGTGGCTCCGAGCGATTGCAGATAATCGGTGTGTTTTTCGGAAGCATATGCAACAATGGTAGAAAAGCCAGCAAATTTGAGTAGCTGAATGGCTTCGGAAATATTAGCAAGGTGTTGGGGTATCTGTTAGTTGCAACTTACCGAATTGTCCGCAAGACGTCCCTGCTCCAATCACCAATGCGGATTTCCCTGCTTGAGGTTTGTTGAAGGAGAATGTTGGGTTCAGTCCAAGTCCAAGGGGTGCTGGGGCGAAAAGACCGACGCAAGATGTTGTAAACGTGATGGGCATGGTGGCAACCTCATCGAAAGTGACGTTTTGTGGTTTCTATTGTGGTATATCAATGGACTCGTGTAAGTTGTATTCTCGTTCACCCAACTTACACGAATCAGGATGGAAGTTGGCAGCACAACATACTCCTGGTATCCATCACCCAGTGTCTGCACAAATCTGTAACATCCATGAGCACTTATTGGACAAGCAAGACAACGAAAGAAGGGCATTTACACTTCATCCCCCACATGAAATGCAGTTACATCTTGACCAAGCTCTTCGATGACACCAGCAATATCACTGCCCAAAACTGCGGGGTACTCAGGAATGAGAAAGTCCATCATATGGCGCATTGGATCCATCGGGTTTAGACCAACGGCCATAATCTTGATGAGAACCTCGCCTTTGCCGGGAGTGGGCACAATAATGTCCCGCAGTTCGATGGGGGCTTTGGCGGACGGGATGACGAGGGCCTTCTGTGTGCGATTTGCCATCATGAAAGTGGGTACTAGTATGGGGGGAGGAGATTGAATGAATGCGTCATTCTTTTATAGCATCGAGGAGAGAAGCGGCTGAAAAATGCTGACACTTGCTCGGATACGATTCCGAGACATGGACCTACGTCGGCGAGCCACCGGTGAATACAACGACTCGACAATGACCACTATCAGTTTGGTGAGCAGCCCCATAGACTACTTCAGAAGAAACGTACGGTAGGATTTGGAGGAGACTCTTTCGCGATCAGTCACTGTGACGATACTTCCTCTCGATAGAACTTGTCGTTGACTTTTAGCGAGTAGCGCACGACGAATTCATCGTCGCATCTTGCTCACCAGACTCTCTATCGTGCGAAAGGGATTAGAACCCCAAAGCATCATCTCAAACTGAATGACCTTGAGCTTTCGCTTCAACGATTTCGCTGCAAGTGTGTGCTCCTGCTTATTATTCTCCCCTTACTCTGAGCTTTCGACTTGAGGTTCGCATGACTACTGGAGCAGTGGAACTTGCTCAAGTCGAACTGCTTTATTTGAATTTGGTTCAACTTCAACTCCAAGTTCGCGCTCAGGCTACCAAACGCGTTTTGGACTTTCTTGCCTTGCACCTTCGGGAGAGAAAACTTTTATTCGCGCTTACAGCCTGAGCCATCCCATTGTATTTCGAGGAGACCGTTTCGCTAACTCTGGCTTTCGATTCTCACTAGCCGTTCGATTTCTTGAATGTGCCGCGGCGTTTTCTCGCTCCTGTTGCACATACTTACTGATCGATTCATACTCAGATTCAGATTCTTCGGCGCGGCCTCAGGACAAGATATTTTCTGCTCCACCAAAGCTTGAATTCCTGAAAGTCTCTGGCCGACGGGTACCCAGTCACGACCACTGGCATTGAGAAACCGTCGCGTAACCAACTCAGTCCTCGGGCTCCTGTAGGAATGGGATAATTGCGCATGCAGTCTGGCGACACACTAGCACGTCTTGCCGCCAAATCTGTTCTGGTGGACATTTTCTTGCGACTTTCGGTACCTCTCCTAGAACGGCTACGTTTCATCGTGTGTCTACTAGTAGTAAAACACTGTCTCGCTCCCTGCACAAAACGTGATAACCGATCAGTGTTCGAGGTTTGTCTAGCGACAATTCGGCGATTAATACCGTCTAACGACCATTTAGATAATAGCTGAGAACTTGAAGAAGGTGCTCAGTCCGAGGATACCTCTAGCACTCATAGCGATAAAAATAATTAATGGATTGCGTATCTTATATGCATTTGATATTGAATATCTGGGTCACTGGCAGTAAATTGCCAATCATCCTGATCTCGTCCTCAGTGCAACATAAAGGCTGAAGCGGGGACGTCAGCTTTAGTGTTCATTTCATTGAACAGAACCCACCCAATCCGATAAAGGACCGTGATTCCAATTAAAACTGCTGACCACTTGCCATACGAGATCCCGCCCACATCAAGATAGGACAGAACGTCATCACCAGAAACTGTGCAAGTGTCTGGTGCGCTAGAAGGATACGCACAGGCGCACGAGTCCGTGCAACGGAATGTTAAGCCCCGTAAGTCGGACTATGTTCCTGATCAGGTAGGTCCAGACCACACGACCCGAGAGACACGCACGTTGGCCAGCAGCTCGAATGCGTAACGCTGGTAGTCCATATAATGAAACGAATAGAACCAGAAACGTGGTAGAGAACGCGCTTTAATGCTGAGATTGTGTCTCAGCTACCTCCCCAAAAGATGTTGACAAAAGTAAACTTACAAGTAACCGCCGACGCTCATCCAGAAGCCATTGATGCTGAATGGAACGGTGAACGGACAGAAGCTGCCGTAAGAGCATGAACTTACAAAGCACCGATTGCAAGCGCAGCAACGAAGATAGGCACAAGTGCGGCAACAATTTGCACCTGACTCTCGGCAGCAAGAATGGCGAGGTAAAGAAAGGCGAGGAAGCGGAAGAACGCCGATGCTCCTGCGTGAAGACCCTACAGGATTGAGTAAGCGGACCCCCAGGAAGTGAAGATGAAGACGGCACAATCGCCCAATACGAGATCACGCTAAACAGCAAAACGCAGAAGAAGAGGAATGGCATGTTGACCAGCGTATTTGAGAGGACGAAAGGGAGAGTCGTATACAACCCATTCTTAGACTCGCGATAATAAACCGCTCGTTCCTCTAGAACTGCCAGAAAGATGAACAAGCGATACTTTGTCTGGCGAGATCACCTTACAGCTAGGAATACCAGCGACAGACATCTGGGGAGCTGATAAGTTTACTTATAATGAAAAGGGGGAAACACACAAAAGCAAGAAAGGCGACACTGTAGAAATGCACTGAAAGTCGGTCATTTATCGTAGAGTCGGCTGTCCCCAGGTTTATCCATATGAGCCTAGAAAGGGATGAGATTCAAAAGCGTTAAGCAATGATAATACTCGCGCAAGCATTGCACCCATGCCAGCATACATTCCTGCTCTCACACCATATGCAAGGAGGTTACGAGCGTAGTTGATGGTTGTGCGTTCAGCCAAGATAAGAGTATGGAGGACAAGGGTAACGAACGGAGTGGCCTTGCCGTATTCAACCAACTCCGAACCTGGGGCATGTATAGCCCGAGCAGAGTCTTCAGAGTCTTCAGAGACCAAGTCAATGGAAGCGCTTTCGGCCAAATAAAATTGCCGTAGAGAGTGCGCGCTAGATTCCATGGCGTGACCTGTCGTGGTCCCCTCTTCAGGGCCAGCAAAATCAGTGCTGAGAAATGCCATGGCATGGTCAGATGGGTTGCTCTGATCATCAACGATTCAGAGCGAGGTACGGCAAGGGATCTTGGATCACTTACAAACCGACCAACAGGATGTCCCCAACGCTCCATGAAAGCAGCCAATCCATCCACCGGCCCATTGTAGCACGTTACGCCTCCCGGAGCCAGAAGCAGTAAGTTGTCGAAGGTCGAGAGCGTCTCCAACGAAGGCTGATGGATGCTTGCGATCACAAACATTCCCTCGGCACGGGCTAATGCACGAATTGCACCGACTACTTGGTAAGCAGAGGTGCTGTCGAGCTAGATACCGTCAATTACCTTAATAAGGTGAAAGGAATGATTGCATACCCCTGAGGTGACCTCATCAAGTAAGAGTAGGCGACTGTGTATTCGAACTCACTTTAAATGCAGGACCTGGAAATGATTGGCTTACGGGAATGTTACCATAGCACACGCAGCGGTGACACGTCGTTTTTGACCTTCATTCAGCTCTTGGTTAGTACTACGGCACCAAAAAGTGAACAAATTTCGACTTACCGCCCGAGATACCGCGGGATATGGGCGTACCAATTCGTTGATCGGCACAAGATTGCAGGCCTAAAGCGGACAGAACCTGGTTTACTCGTGCAGCGGATTCCCGACGCGAGAGAAGAGGAAGACTGTGGTGATGGTGAATCGTCGGCCATGCATTGGCAGCTGGAGGTCAACAAACTGAAGGCGCAATGCGTATGAAACGCTTTCACGGACGGTCAAGACGCCAATTAAGGCGTCCTCCTGCTCGACAAAAGTCGAGATTTTCTGCATAGCCTCGGCAGTCATGTCATCTCCATTGAGCTGGACCTGGGAAGATGATGATACTGAGCAGGTCCGGCGTTCATCGGAAAGCCTAAGATGGCACACCTTTCCACCGGCTAGGGCAGGTTTTCGAAAGGCCATAAGATCCAGAAGAGTGCTCTTCCCTACGGGTGGATGAATGCTAAAAACTCGAATTGCAACAGACGCACCCGCCCCGGACGGTCCCTACGATGAGTCTTTCCGTGAGGTCCGGATCTCCCAAAGCGACATGGAGAACTTACCATTATAGCCAATAGCTCCCCAGGTTTTACGAGCACAGAAACATTGTCGACAAGCACTTTCCCTTTGTCCTTCGTGCCTTGAACACGATAGCTGAGATGCCGAAATGCCAGTTTCGCGCTTCTAGTCTCGTTTTTCGTGTTGAGCCGTTCAGGCGACGAGATGACAGAGTCGGTAGACATCGAGGGTAGCGAGGGGTGGCGGTAAATGAGTGTTAGTTCGACATCTTAGACACACGGGCTTATATCCGTGTTGCGTGGCGCCAGTGCTATGTACCAGCGCCGATAATAACCGGCATTTTACCAGCCCGTCCCGTTAGATTAGCCAAGGGACTCCGAAGGTTATGCGACGTTTTTGGCTTCGGAGTGTGCGTAACCAGGTTCAAGGTTACAACCAAGTCGAAAGAAGGTTGTCACTCCGATTGATGCCGTCAAAACTGGACGAAAAAAAATCCTGAAAATTACAGACCTGCTCAACTTTGCTCACATATCGCTCAGCAATACAGAATTGACTGGTTTGACTTGGAATATCAAGGACTAATGACCACGGACGGTGCCTGTCTAACGACAACTTGAATCGGAGAACATGAAACCGACTAGAAAGCTTGAAGCGCGGAGATCTTCCAGCTTTCAGAACAGTGCAAACATGATGGATAGGAGTTACTGTACTGCCGAACATTGGGCAACGAGAAAACGATACTCTACCGCATGTTTCAGGATAAAACAACCTGGACCCGCAATAAGCTCAAGTTTGGGATACCAGGATCTATAAGAATCACTATGGGTTTCTGGCAATTTTTCCCCTCCCGCTCCCTCGATTCTTCACTTGTGCTCTTGGGAGGTAGCACATTCAATGGCTATTGAGCCCCTGATTCTATAGATGTAAATTTCTTATTTGCTCGATGGATAAGGCAGAAAACACATACCTGTTGCATCTGAAAAATCCAGGTAACATTCAAGGAGGATTCAGGAAGCATTCTTGTTGGATGATATTACCCAGCAATGTATTCATCTCAGAAAGAAAGATAAGAGTATATCCATCGGGTCAAGGGGATTAATAGCTACTGATCATGAACAAAGAAGATTAGTGAAGAATTGAGGGAGTGCGATGGACAGGTACCGTGTTGCGATTGCGAAACCATCGTAGTATGGGTCAGAGCAGATTGGCATCGCCTTTGAGTCACAAGCAGCTCCTGCTATGTACGCTTAGATTCGTCCACAGTTCGTCTTGATTACATCGACAATTCTATCATTGTGTAGTTGTCGTTCTGCATCGGTGCATGGCGACTCGGTCACGTTCAGAAGGGAAAAGAGCTCTCGTTCTAGCGTCAGATGCAACCGAGCCACTGCTTCTGGAAGCAATCTTTACGCTCAAGTTGTGGTACCAGTGCGAAGAGACGACAGAGAATGTGAGCGTGACGCGGTGACAAGAGTGACAAGAAACATTACATAATGTTTGAGGTGTTGCTCTGAATCAACTCTGCACAAGTACTGGATCGCTTTGGATGGACGAGCACCGCCGATCTTACGCGGCTTCTTCGGCTGTTTGCCTTCTGTTGCAACACCGCGACATGGGACGACATTTTCACGGTCCAATCGTGCAAGAATAATGCATTCTAGCTTGGGTACCAACCATCATGTCCGTCAATCCTCCTGGAAACTCCTCCTCCTCCTCCTCCTCCTCCTCAGGCACTGAACTGATGCTTAAGAGTACAACTAAGTTATGAGGGCAAGCAACCCGGTCGAGGAAGAATCTTTTGTGAGTTGGCACTGTATTACCTCTTTTCTCTGTGACTGATTATTTCCAGCAAAGGTTTAAGAATATAAGTAAGGAAGTAGGGTGATTTCGATGAGACAATTCCTCCCTACAATGAGACGCATCACACAACAGGTTGCTTCTGGGGACGACGATCTGGCGGAGAAGTCGATCATCTTTCATATTCTGCATTCAACAGGACATACATCGGCATTTGCTTCCGAAGGCCATATCTTCTCCACGACGACCCTGCGCTGAATTTCCTTTCCTTTCCTTCCTTCCGCCGGCGACGCTCACTCTTCATTTGTCTTTCGTTTGTTCTTCTTCTCTTCAACATGGCTGGCTCTGGAGTAGAACTCCTGTGCGTCCACCGTTTGCAATGATATCGTCGCTGACTGGCCAGTAGTTTTGGTCCGATGCTCATTGGTCTTTTGGTCCTACCCTACTGGCCGCGTTTGGGCTGATCCTTCCAACAGGCACAATTCTGAGCTCTATCTGTTATGGAGTGCGTCTTATTTGCGCATCCGCCGTCCCGCGTCTTATGAACGACCTGTGTTGCCAGATCATGAGCTTACAGGTTCGCGTTTTCCTCCTATGCCCATCTTGTGCAGGCGCTGAACATGCTTAAGATGTTCATCTACTACCAAACATATAAAAAGTGGCGCTTTAACACTTGTCCGCTAACTTGACTAAACTCAACCTTTTTGCCCTCTCAAAGGGATCTCATCTGGATTCGATACTTTGTGCGCAATCTTGAACTCCATGCGACCATCTGACGCTATAACAGGTCCTCTATCTCTTTCTTGCAGAAACGACCAACCTCCTCTTCGAAATCGGCATCATATACGAACCGCTCATCGTCCGTTATGGTCTGTTCTTACCCCGCAGCGTGGAACTTACTCATGTATTCACTGCCAGGAGCTCCAAGAGCACTTGTTGTATCACCAATCCGTGAGTTCGTCGCACTGCTACAAGCCCCTGCTCAATTCATTGGCTCCAGTCCTTCCTGGTGGTGAGTCTATTTTAATCCTTGAATGCCTTGATGAAGTGTCAAAAATAGACGCCATTTCCATTGTACGTGAAACACTTCCTTTCGACGTGTTCGTGGCTTAGGGTGAGGTCAGGTTCTGGTTTCGACGCCAATCCAAATGTTCACCGCCTGGCGCATCAGCGGTTTGCGAAGCAATTGTGGATATCGAATGATTTGGCTAATATTTTTCTTTCCAGTTATTACCGGGAAGAAGATATTCTCTGTTCTCATCAGCCTTTTCGCTTTGGTTTCTTTTGGTACTTCAATCTTGCCCTGTCCTTCCGCGGCTGATATTCTCCTTTCAGGCGGTGGTGCCATGGTCAGCATCTTCACCGTCATGCGGAATCAGTACCGCGAGTTCGCAAGCTTTACTAGTGTTATAATTCTCTGGCTTGTCTGCAGTGCATTCTGTGATGTGCTCATTGCGGTCGTCCTAACGTATTCTTTGGTGCGTTTCATTCAATTCTCTCAAGCACGGTCCTGAGTTTAACTTGTTTCTAGAGTACGCGCAAGACTGGATTCACGGCTGTCGATGGACAAATAAACCGAATCATTCGCCGTGCGTCGCAGATCAACATCCTGCTTTCAATTCTCCGAACTAATGCTGGTTATCTTTAGTCACAGTCCAAACAGGTGCTATCACCGCCGTGGCTGCATTGTTGGACCTCATCCTCTTTCTATCATTCCCAGTTGCGTATCTTCTCTGCGGGTTGCCATCAGACTCTGATCATTCTTATTCCCTTTTCAGACATCAACAGTGTATGCATACACCATCGACATTGCGTCCGAACTGATGATCCCGTTCACAGGCAATTCATTCCCGACTTCCCGCTTTCCAAGATGTACTCGATATGCTTGGTCAGCACGTGCGTATTTCCCAACTTGAATTTCCCGCTGCATATCCTCGTTGTTGATAACTCATTAGATTAAATGCCAGGGCACGCGGGAAATCGGATGTCGAACAACAACGCCTCCCTAATGCTTTATTTAAGGATTCCACGGGCCTAACTTCCGCATCTGCGATCTCTGGCAGCCGTGACGGTGCGACGGGAGCTAGTTCATTGACCAGTCCAGTCAACCTTTACTCGTCACCCATTGTACGGAGTCTCTTTTTGTACTCATCAAGTGTGCTGATGCATTTTCCTCTGTTTGAAGCAGTATTACCCTGGCTCTGGATCTATGGCTACCCTCGTTCCCACTGATCGATCAGCTTTGTCAAGCAGCGGGCATCTCAAGTCGACCTCATCTTCTTCCAACCTCATCTCGCGGCCGCTCACACGACCTCGTTCCAGGTCGCAACCGCCTAGCCACAAGAGCTCGTATGATGACTTGGAGAAGGGCCACCGTGAACGAGACCTTCCGCCTGCGCCGCCGACTCACAGTCGTGACCCTTCAGCCACGGGGAGACAGCCGCATTACATCCAACCACGTCCGCGTAAGGACTCTGCGGCCCAGGCGATGTCTCAGGCCCCCGTTGTCCTTGAACCACGGAGGCCACCACCACGCAATGCGTTATAGAGGACACTTTACATGGACCCACTATTTAAGGACTAAACAGTACCAAAATTTCGATTTGAGTCAGCGGCTGGTGGACGCTGTGTAAACTGTACAAGTACATATAGATGCGTCATTATCAATTCGATCGTTTGTATAATCGATTATTAGAGTCTAAATAGGTATAAGTTGTCCATGATTGAAGGTTGATGGGAGAGAGCGTGTGTTTGTACTTAAGAGCGTGCGATAATCACCGTGTCAGCATTCACGAGCGTCGTGACCGCCCCGTTGGGGGACAAATGCGTCCAGAGACACGGTTCCGTGGCTGACTTCACGTCCGCCTTATAATCCGTCATGTTGAGCACCCTTCCGCCAGAGCAGTTCGCGTATCCTGCATAAGATAGCTCGTGTACCGGACCCGGAAGGTATGTAGGGGTAGCGGCAACCGCAAACACGTCGAAGGGTGCGGGCCAGCATGAAATGGTGTAGCGGAGAAGCAACCCAGCGTTCCCTTGCTTCGCTTTGCTATTTGGACTCAGGTTCCTTAACCGCGAGCGGAACTTTGAGATCAGCCCGGTCGAGTTAAATAGTGTCTGTGTTCTGGGGGTTTCGCAGTGGGCGGAGCGAATTTCAGGAAGCAGGTCTATATTTCCAGAGAGATGGACAAGAAGCCTGGCACGAGAACGGCACAGACGGTCCCGGAAAAGCTCGATGCGATAGTGGACATGTGGTTCTGCATTTTCAGATACATCCCAAAGAGTATGGCGATGCAACTCAGTCGTGAACGCTGGTATTGGTGTGGTCGCAGAATGGATAGACATTGCGCAGCGGAGGGAAAGCGTATTCGTTGCCCGCCAGTGGTGGCGGAATGATTTCAAGCTCCATTGAAGTAGGACCGGTACGTGGGGAGAGAAGGCGGAGGCCGTGGCCAAGATGATGTGGTTCGAGATCGTGAAAAGCGAAGAAGCGGTATCGTTGAAGTCTGACTGGAAGAGGATATACTCGTCGTTTCGCCAGTTGAGTAGGAGGATGAAGGTTTTGGCATGTGCTTTGAACGTTGTTGAGAGGAAGCTGCCATTCATATGGGTGTTGCTGAACTTCTCCAGCTCAGCATTGACTCTGAGGCCGGTGGAGATGTTCAGCCGAGTCTTGGCTTGCCCAGTGTCAATATCGACGTCGATTATGCCAATACGGGAAGTTCTTTATATGCATCAGGGTAAGTCGGGTCCATGCTTGGCATGTACAAAACGCTCACCTTTCACCCACTTTCCTGATCACTGTTCCCAGTCGCATAGAATGCCCGTTGTTGAGCATTTCAACTGCGTAGTCATGGACTGCACCAAATAAACTCCAGGCTCGCCGACCAGTCCCGACATCAATGCAGTCAAACTGTTGGGGCCGCACGACGGTAAGATAACGTCCACCTGGGAGAAGCTTGACGGAGCCGGAAGCCGCTGAAAGACTTGGGTCTGTGGAGTGTAGCGCAGGGGTAATCTTGAGGATCCGTCGACTTCGCGTTGAAGACAAAGGACCACAAACGGTATGGCGGATGTGCTTAATAATGGCAGCTGTCGAGTAATTGTCTTCTGCAGTGGTGAGCGTGTCGACCAGACCACGAGCGGTGAGGTCGCGAAGAACCGATAGCCAGACTGTTCGGCATTGGGAAACACGGTGTAGAGTACGACTTGTCTGACAAAGCCATCAGACTATAAGTTGTACTTAACTTATCTCGGTCGCGCACCAGTGCAACTTGGAGAACCGTCGACACGTCACAGAGGGACAAAACTGCGATCCAGATGTCGTCGTTGAGGACAGAAACCATCGCAAACGACTCAAACTCGTGGAGCCCCACGCGTCATTGGCTGGCGCATGGAGACTTGGGGAATAGATGCCGTGATGAATACCAGCGGAGAAGTTTGTTCCACCAGGTCGACACGATTGGTCGCATCACACGTGACATACAGTAACGTCACATCAGCCTCCCTTCTCTTTGACTCTTGAGTCTTTCCCAACTCTTTCTACAGATCCGTTCGAATTAATTCAGGGATTGAGGGACAGTGCTCGCGCTGCACTCGGCAGATGATCGTCAATATCGAGGGTCAAGGCTGTTGCTGGCTGTCCATGTCCTCCTAACTCGACAAGCGGTGCAAGGGCTTTATCAGGACCCATTTCCTCTACTTCCTTCCTCAAGTCTTTTGCCGACGCTTGCTATTCTATGGCCCTACCTACTCGCCGCAAAACCGTCGCCATTGGGGATGGGGCCTGTGGGAAGACGTCTCTCCTGATTGTGTTTTCGGAGGGCAGGTTTCCAACGCAATACGTTCCCACCGTCTTCGAGAACTACGTAACGGACATCATCGTCGACAACGATACCGTCGAGCTTGCACTATGGGATACCGCCGGTCAGGAAGAATACGACCGATTGCGACCTCTGTCTTACCCAGATGCCCACGTCGTATTGATCTGTTTCGCCCTCGATTCACCCGATTCGCTTGAGAATGTTTTGGAAAAGTGGGCACCAGGTGAGTAGATCCGACCGATTCATATAATCCAAACTCAAACTGAAGATGTATGACAGAAGTGCAGTATTATTGTGGCGCGCGGATGCCTGTCGTCTTAGTTGGCTGCAAGGCTGATCTGCGGGGCGACCCTGCGTACGCTAGTCTTGTTACCCGTCAACAGGGTATGGCGATGCAGCGTCAGATCGGGGCTGGCGCCTACGCGGAATGCTCAGCCAAGACCGGTGTTGGCGTCCATGAGGTCTTCCAGATCGCGACGAGGGCAGCGTTGGCTGCTAAAGCAAGACCTTCGATGCACACCAGCCGAACCAGATGTTTTGTTCTCTAAGGATGCTTGTCAGAAGTATGTACTCCATTCTAGATCGTACTTTGTATTGTATTGTATACCCAAACAGCTTTCAAAGCATGAACACTCTATGTAAGTCCAGTCCAACGCCAATGGTAAGCAGGTTGGTCGTCGTCCTCGATGGCTTGGCTGGTCTAGAATCGGCTTCCTTTCTTTCCCGGTTATGGCTAAAATATGACAAGCTTAAGGTATCGTAACGTGAGGCTCCAGGAGGTATGTACATGTATTTTGTCGATGATACATCGTGCAACGAGCTCCATAACATTAACGGGAATGGCTAATAGACGGAGTGTGAGTGGAGGAATGACAAGGGGGAAAAAGACGGACCAAACAACGGTGAAAGTCTTCTTGAGAGACCGAAATATGAAAGGAAGAAGTATGGTATGGGAATTCGACGTGATTTTGTGGAATATCTTCCTCTGTCCTCATAGCAACGAATCAAGCTTGCTGAGGACCTCCAGGACCGCCGCAATCAGCTCAAAGCCGGCATCCTCGTCCCCACCGATAGCCTCAGTTCGAGCTGCGGCGACAAGTCCGCGGACACTCTCCCGCCCGACGTCAACACCACCAGACCCAGTTGCAATACGGTTTTTGCGTTTAGATTCGGTGCCTATCAGCAGTTAACAAAAAATGTAGGACAAAAACAAGTAGGATGACTGACCACCTGTGCCACCACCAAATGGCCAGACAGCAAACTCTGCAAGTATTTCATCACATCTGCCAAACGCCGCTTCCCGCTCCTCGTATCCTAGTCGGCCAAATGCATTATCAAGTACGGAGGCGGTGTAGGCTGAGCAAACAAGGCAGACAGAACGAAGGGTCCGGCATTGAGTGCCTTCCGCGTCCAGGGCTTGTGGTGGAACTGCGCTCGTCCCGCTAGTCAATAGTGCCACCACGCGGTTGACGACGCCAGCCTTGACATGCGCGTCCGCCTAAGGCTGTGCTTAGCAAATATAACTTGAGTTCAAGGATGTAGAAACTTACTACTGGATGTGTTGCCATATCAAACAACAAAAAGTTCGTCTTTTCCGTTCTAAGAACGCCCTTGTCGACTAAGCCTTTCGCCAAACGCTCGCGAACTTGTTTGAGCTGGAAGCCGATCTTGAGCACATTCCAAGTTTCACCTGAGAGTGTCAATGCCAGATTCCCGCCTAGAAGAGTACAGAAACTCACCACTGAGCAAGTCAACCCATGTCCCCACCCCCATCTTTTCACCCGAGTCTTCAGTTTGCTTCATCATCTTCAATGTCTCGTCCAACAATGTCTCTCCAGTCTGGCGCGTGGACAGCACAGTCACCAACCGATCTGGCAGCGGTAGGCGTTTCTACAATGAATGAGCAAAGCTCGGAGAAGGACGGTACCGAAAAGGCACACGATACGAAAAGAACTTACGCGTCCAGGGTCCCTCACAATGCCAATTCTCCGTCTGAGCGCGAGTTCAATGAGTATGCAGCCTCGCAGGGCATAGCTGATGTTGTCGTTCCAGAAGCTGAGATACCCCTGCTTGTCCTTGATACCGAGCAGCAGCACTTCCTCCATCAGCGTTAAACGAGGAAGCTTCCCGCCAACTCGAGCGTCCTCGCCAGCCTCAAGAACAAGGTCGCGTGGATCGAAAGCTACACGCGAGCCGCCTGCAAACGCCGACCCAGCATGTGTGCTTGTGCCATTTTCAGACGAGGAATTGTTCAGTGGAGGAGTGGTCGATTGGGTGCGGTCTTCGTCACGGTCGGTGCTTGTAGCCGGCGCTCGTCGCCGGGAAAGCCCAGAGGAGGCCATTGTGAACAGCTCAGCGCTGCGGGGGATGGGTGGGGTCACAGAGTGACGGTGATGTATCAGGCTGGATCAGGTAGGTGACCCGGTGCCGAGAACCGTTGAACATTGCCAACTTTGAACTAAGTTACAGTACTCATGCATTACGATTGAGGAATCCAGCAACAAGCTCCATGAACTTCTCGCGCTCCTCCCAATGACACATATGGCTGGATTCCGCCAAAGTAACCCATCTGAAAGCACAACTTGAAATCAATGCGATCCAATTGCAATCGAGACTGCTGACGAACCTCACGGGTCCAGAAATCTTCTCAAAATAAGGGTACACAGTTGAATCGCGCGCTTCGTCGTATGCACCGTTAATGAGGAGGGTGGGAACAGTAATCTTGATCGCGTCCTCCAGCATCGACCATGTCTTCAACGAGCCAGTGACGAAGAATTCTGAAGGCCCGTTCCTAACAAGCCTCAACAACAAGCATGAAAAGAAAAAAAATTGCGTACATAGTGAAATAGACAGTTGGATCTTTCTCAATCCATTGCATTGCCTCCTCGAGCTCTGTAGGAAAAGGAATTCGACAGAGAAATCTTTCGTAGAAAATGGCCATTGCTCGTTGATATTCTGCGCTTTCCGTGGTTCCCGCAATTTCGTGGTCCGTAAGCACCTGCGCCACTTCGGGTGGAAGAAGAGTGCGAAGATATGCAGCGGCTTCTTCCCAAAGTGGCATGGATGCAGGTGAGGATTCGATAATCAGCTTTTTGAGGCCAGGCGGTTGACGAGACGCATGTCGAGAGCCGAGCATTCCGCCCCATCTCAGAAGGTGTCAGAAGAAACTTGCAAATCCGGGTTGGCACATACGACTGGCCTAGCAAAGCGTAATCGTTATCGATGCCCAGAAACTTCAGTAGATTGTCCAACTCGTCTAAGAAAAGTTGCTCGGTCCAAAAAGTCGTATCGTCCCTCTTCTCGGGAAGATGTGTCGACTTTCCGTTGCCCAGTTGGTCATAGAATATGACTGGTATCCCATACTTCGTCGCAAGGTCAATCATACTGAGGAGGTAGTTGTGGGGGACCCCGGGGCCGCCATGAAGAGTTACAAGTGGGCGAATGCCGGAGGTGAGCGAACCCACAATCTTATACCAAGTAACACAGTCTTTCCCTGCGGCGGGCAGGGAAAACGGCGCTTCTCCTTCAGTAGTTATGATCTCGGAGGTGCCCATGTTTGTGAGACTTAGAAAGATGTGAATTGATGCTTATAAGGCGGCCCTGGCGCTTGAAGCCTGAGAACTGTGAGTCGAAGTTTAAGAAAAGTTGCACTCGGACCGGCAGCCTTTTATACCGAGTGGACATTGATAGATGCAACTTCAGACAAGCCCAGCGGTAAGAGCCTGAGTGTGACGCAGGATCTGCCTAAAGAGACTCAGCGAAGTGCTAGTAACATCATGATGCCACTGTTTGACAATTGCAGTGGCAATGGCTTGGAGTTGGCTAAGTATGGCCTTTGGGTGACCAGGGTGAGACATGTCTTGACTATGAGTATTCTTGGTGAATCGCGTTGAAGGGCCATGCAGCCGAGTAAGTATCGGTGCCCATCAACAGATCAATTTGCTTTTTTCACCACAACCCCCATCTTCTATTTTTGCCTTTGCTCAGTCGTGCGATTCTGATTATCCTTCCATCTTTTTGTTTGCGTCGACATTACCCTCAACCTTCGCGTGTTCCTCCTCCTCAGCATCGTTCGCCTTCGTAACCACCCCATAAATTCATGCAGATTAAGATAGAAGCCTTCGACGACTCGGAGAACGGTGCTCTACAGACTGCCATAGCTATCCCTGATAGTTCACGTCCTTTTGGTGCCTTTCGCTTCCCTTACGCAGTCGAGCAATCCGTTGACGACTGATACAGAGCAACCTGCTAGTGCGGTAGTAAATGAAGAGGATCTAGTCGTAAAACGCGTTGTTCTCCGTGGCGATTATGGGTCCTCTGATTCCGACTCTGATTCAAGTCCCGACTCTGATTCAGGCTCTGACTCTGACTTCTCTTACGCACCCTCCTCCTCTGAATCAGACGATAGCGACGAAGAGCTGCCTACAACCATCCAGTCAACAGCAGAAGTTAGCGGAAACGATGCTTTCGAGTGCGCCTTTTTTGTTCCTAATTGCACCAATTATAGCCGTATAGCCGTCTCGTTGCCAAAATTCGAAGTCACAACGGCGCTCACGGAGACTCTGAAGCCGTGAACGGCGGGCTCCTTTCCCGCGAATGGGATTTTGTCATTCAAGAGACAACAAGTACACGACAGCAGGGGAAAGGGGTATGTTTCCTCTTTCTTAAATCAATATAAAACCTGCTTATACCCGTTTGGCAGGGTAAACGCGCTTACTCTGGTCCAGTTGTTTCAGCCCATCTTCGCACTCTTCTCGGCGACGGAAACCAAGCATATGTCGATGGCGAGCTGGATAAGGCCACCCGCATCATGCTCGAAGTTATCCGAATCGAACCGCGAACGCCAACTGCTTGGGTTGTCCTCGCCCAATGTTATGAGGAGAAAAAGCAGCAATCTTGTGCGCTGCAACTTCGTATCATGGCTGCTCATCTGCGGCAGGACGCTGAGGAGTGGGATCGGTTAGCAAAACAATCGAAGGAATTGGGTTATCCGCAGCAAGCGCTATATTGCTGGAACAAAGGCCACCACGTAGATCCGAGCAACGTGGCCGCTCTTTGGGACTGTGCGATGTTGGCGCAATCTGTCAACGACATGAAGTCGGTATGGTGCTCCACCTCGAATCACATTCCTCGGGCTTATACTGGGTTCTTCCAGGCTCGTTTTGCTTTTCTTGGAATTTTGTCTCGCTTCCCGCATGACCTCCACATCATCTCTCTTCTTCGGCCTATTTTGATATCATTATCCGATTTGCAAAAGTGCGCAAGTTTGTATAACGATGCATTTGACCACCACCGTCTACTCTTTCCTTCTGGCAACGGTCCTTCCACCTCATCGAGCGAGGATGTCAAGCCGAGCCAGCACGTACCTGGAGGTGGTTTTGGCGAAATGGAGGTTCTCGTTTTAGCTGACCTATTCAATGAGCTCGGAGAACATGAAAGAGCAATCGAGACTGTCAGAAGAGGTATACGTTGGCTCCAAGGTCGAGGAGAGGACAACTGGTGGGACCTGTGCACGGATGACAGAGAGTATGATCCTACAGGCCCCGTCGTCAATCGTGTACTGGACGCGATTAACGATGTCAGGCCGGGATTTCATCCGCTGAACGTCAATGCTCGTCACAGATTAGCTGTTGCGAGGCTAAAAATCGGCGACTTAGAGGAGGGGCAGGTCCACGCTGGCATGATTCTCGCAGAGGAAATATTGGATTATGGCCCACTCTTCACGGAAATTGCCGATGCCTATTTTGACGTTGATCAGTTCGCAGAGGCGAGAGATATCTATGAGAAGCTTGGTAGCTGTGAGATGGTATGTATGTGTACCAATCTGTGCGGGTTCGATGCTAACCTTGGTAATTTTCAGACCAGCAACATCCATATCCTCACCCGCGCTGCTATTTGTATGCGCACGATGAACGATCTTCATGGTGCTGCGGAGGTCTATGAAGCGGGTAAGCAAGCCTATCGACTGTCGATTGATTCTCACTTTTTCGACAGTGCGTGTGGCGGATCCCGATAACAACGAGTTGAAGATGGAACTGGCTGATATCTATGAAATACTCGACGAACCAAGAAAGGCTCTGGACTTGGTCTATGAAGGTATAACTGTCTCTTCCACGACCGCAAGCTGACACCGTCCAGTCGTGGATTCTCGACGACGTCGGCCCCGCGAACATCAACCCGAAGAAAGTATTGGCGCAACTCTGAGTTGTGTTCCGGGTCTAATTCAAGAACGACAAAAGCCACCCCAACCAAAAACGATGTCACAGATGAAGCATATTCGCAAACCCCCACGTTTATTGCCTGATGAACTACGGGCGTTGGAGGCTGAAAAGGATCAAGAATCGATGGAAGCGTATGCTCTGATAAAGCAACTTTGGGATGGAATGCAGCGTGGGGATGAAGAATCGACCAATGCATGGTTAGTTGAAGCTAGAAAGCTTGTTGAAATGTTTCGAGAGACGAGACGACTGTTTACGACTTCTAGAGTGAGTTTTATATTGCCAGCTTTTGATTCAGTATTTGACGCTGTGGAGTAAGGTATATCGCGGAATGGGCCCTATTCGCCGCACTCGCAAACGCCTGGATCAGGAGGATGAAGACAAGATCTTGAATAGGCTACAGCTGGATATAGGTAAGTCATTCCATTTCACTTGCAACGAATTTGAACCGTTCGTAGCTCACCAAATCGGAAGCCATTCGCAGTCTGGTATCTCAAACTCTTTTCGTGGGATAACAATCGACGAATGGTTGGAACTATTCCTTCAAGCGTGTTTGCTCCATCTATCCATTTTTCTGATTCTTACAGTTCTGCAGTACTCCTTTGTTTTAACCCGTCAAGGGGACTATGATGAAGCGGAAGAAGTTCTTCGCCATCTACTGGTATCATCTGCGTACAAAGTGCCTGTGTATCAAGACCGTATCCGAATCGCTCTGATGGGTAGACCGTTCTACACACTCCTTACACTATATGCTGATCCAGTTTTCAGCGGTGGCCAGGTTTGTCGGGCGACTTTCTGTTGTTGTCGAACAGTCCCGCAAAATTCACACAGCCCACCAGTTCCACAATGAACCTCTTCGTCTCTTGCTGGCTACCTTGGGTCCTAGCGCGACGTTGGGAGTAGATGCCTGTTTGGGCTCCCCTTTCCAAAAATACCTCCATCGGGAGGTGGTCATCGCAGACGCAGCTGTCTATCGACCGGCGCACGTCTTATGGAACACTCCCATTCGTCGTTTCAGTATCAACCCCGCAATTAGTGGCGACGTAGTACTGGGCCCCGAGGATGTTGATGAACCGTTAGCGGGAGATCTTGATGGAACCAAGAAGCCAAAGCAACGGCTTCCTGACTTTTGTCGTAAACCCAATCCCGTCATCATTGCAATCTATGGGTGTACCTTGCTGCTCTCGAAGAGTTACCAAAGTTCCATCTGTGCGTTCCTTGAGTTTTCAGGCAGGGAACCGTTGCACGAGCTTATTGTCACAACAGATTACCTTCTTATGGCACATGACCTTACCCCAGAAGACCCACTCATCTCGCTCAGTCTAACTGCTGCTTTACTCGGACGAGCATGCCAACGGCAGTGCGACAATAGACACCATCTAGTTGCCGAGGCAATGGCATTTCTAGCTCGATATCGTGAATATCGTGCTGGAATAACAGATCAGCACAACAGTGAAATTGAATATAACGTTGGGCGGTCATTTCATCATCTTGGTGGGTTGTTCACAAGCTCAGCGCTCGATGCTGACAATTTACTTCGTCTATCCAGGCTTGTATTCGCATGCGGTCAAGCATTATGAACGAGCGATTGAGGCTGCTGACCCGAACGTTCGTCGCTTTTCCAGCTTGCCTTCTGCTTTAACTTGACCACAGGATCCCACCTCGTGTGTTTCAGAAGCTGTCTATAATCTTACTCTCATCTTGGTGGCAACTGGAGCTCGTCAGCAAGCTGAAAGCCTTGCTCGTCGATGGCTGTCTGTCTAACTCTTGCTTTGTAGTCGTCATTATGTGTTGTTGTTTGTTGTGTTTATTTTTACACGTAGATGTACGAGCTACTAATCACCCTGATCTCTTGCTTAGGACGATGTGAACGATGAGATCAGCACTGAGCCACCAGTCGCCTTCGTCGCGTAGTTGAAAATTCCGTATCGATAACCCATAAAGTATTGCCAGTCGGTATTAAGCGCGAATGACGGGCCCAGCGTCGTGAAACTGTTGCCATCAAGCGAGTAAGAGAACACGGCGGTTCTGCTCGAATTCGGCGCAATGTTGGCAACAACGCGCAACCAAACTTTCTTCTGAGTAATGGTGACGGAGGAGACAGTGGTTCCAGTGTTGGTCGTTGACCAGTCCTAAAAACTCGACATTTCAGATTGGGTCATACTCCCGAGTGGGGGTAAGTAGCGTACAGATTCGCTTTGGGTGATCCCGTTGGTCATGCCGATTGTGTATGCGCTTCCGTCGCGTTTAATACCGATCCAAGCTGAGACATGGCGGAAAGCCACAAGACCAGCCCGATCACCGTCCGCCATGTTGGTGAAATCCATGACAAGGGTGCCGGTGCCGACGGGGCCATGAATACGCTTGGTGAGGGTGTTGCGAGCAGCGTAGAGGTCCACTGTGACGGTTGCGGTGCGAAGCGTCAGACCGTTTGAGACGGTGAATTTGGTCGTGTCGGGATTGTGGTTCCACTCCCAGGTGGGTCCTAAGGATGATCCGGAGAAAGAGTCGGTGCCAGTTGAGGGCGTTACTTGAGGAAGGACATCAGAGAAGTGTTTCAAGGACGAAAATCGTGCATTACCTGCGACTTTCGCAAGCGGATATGGATATGATGCACCCCATGCACCGCTTACAGTGGTTACCGAGGGGAAACCGTCTGATCTATGACTGACCTTTGTGGACAAAACCCAGTGATGACTCCATTCGATGATAGCTTAACGGTTCACAATGTGCACAATGTCATCATGATCATCCCGACAGGCATCCTCCACTTCCGACTCAGTCACTAGCGGAACTGGCCAGGCGATGACCGTCATTATCATTGTCATATCAAAGAACGATTTCGACACATAAGTGATGACTGGGACCGGCTGATGCCCTTGTCTAATAATAATATGATAGATCACCGTTGGCGAGTGGTCGCCAGCCCGCCGGCTGCGCGGCGTCTCAACCTTGCTAGCGCTTTGGCCAGGCCATTTACAGATCAATAGCATAGAATTCAATGAAATACCCTAAGGGAAGGGGAGGCGATGCGCGCGTGTGTCCTCTTAAGTTATTGATAACTCATGTTACACCACTTACATAACTTATCCATCGTTGAGCGTATGAGAGTGGAACTTGAATGCGAGCTGTTGACCTCTTCTAACGAGAGTTTGGGGCCGCCGCCGCGAGTAGAAAAATACTTCGCTGGAAACAAGTCTGAAATCTTGATGAGCCGATTAGCTCCGAAAATGTTTGGATTTTAGCCGTGGCCATAGGGTACAGGGTATAGGGTATGTAAGGGTATTCTCCAGTCAAGATTTGGTTTTGAGTGTCTGTAGATCAATTTCCTCGGTATAAGTATCCAAAATTGAACTGAAGGAAAATTGTGAGACCGTGCCAATAGGCTACTACTCAATGAGGAGGGGCCCCTGGGTAGAATAAGGAAATCTTTTGGGCAAAAACGAGTCGTGCGAACCTTTGTTTAGTTTCGTATCCTGGTGCCAACCTCAAGACAATCTGTTTGTAATCGGAGCCAGAGGGCCATAACCCAACTCAGCATGACCTCGACCACTGGGTCAGACCCTGCCGTTAGAAAGCACCTTATATGTCCTATAGCACATTTTCACCGCCTACTGAGCGTGCGTGAATTCTGCCGAGCATCTATTGATGAGCTATAGTCGAGTTTAACTTCAACTTCCAATCTCTGATTCTAAAAGCGGTTTGACACTCAAACCGGTTCCCGGGCTGGTGGTTTGGTTTGGTTTCAATCCCGTCGGGTTATGGAGCAAGACCGCTTACAATTTGATAACGCCACAACTTCGTCACGGTCTTCACATTTCGTTGTCCAGTCGAAGGAGCTATTTGCGTCAGGACAGTTACTTTGGAACTTGCGGTTCCTTGCCAGTGGTAAGCTGAGACTGATTCGAAGATATCACCCCGTTATATACCCTGTAACCACGGTCCGTCAGAGCGGCATACCGAAAACTTCAAGCGACGCAGACCGTTTAACCCTTTTATGAAGCAGTCCCATCTAGTTGCAAACCTCCCGTGATTCCGGAGGGCTGGATGGAGTTCGTTGACTGGTTACCCTCGCGAGCTCCGCATGGAAGTTATTCAGGACCGCGTTAAAATGGAATGGCTTTTCGACCAAGTTGAAGGTAACCGTGGCTTGCTCCCCGGAAATCTAGCGAGGCGTTCAGCCAAATCCGAATCCGATGTCGACTCTTTACGGCAATATGGGATCTGAGCTCCTGATAAGACTTTGACGACCTTGCATCAGAGAGAGACAGTATGGCCACGCAGAAGAACTATCCGTTCGTGAGTAAGGCCAAGCAGAAGACTCCGTTGGAGAGCGTACAGGTGGTTCGAGCCGACAAACTTGCAATGCAGGTTCGGGAATGTAACAAAGGTTCAAGATATGCCTACTCATCTGCAGATGAGAGTCGCACAAGGTGGCAAACCGACATATGTGACCCTGTGCATGGGTTTCCATCGACCCACTTGACTTTCCCACCCGCAAACCGACTGTGGCACTCACGATGGTTTTATAGGTGGCAGTGGCGCCTTGTAAGTCGACGCTATGAAGTTGTGTTGAAATAGCATCGAAGCTCTGGAGCAATTGCACGGGAGAGTGGCCAAAGTTTTGGCAGCCGTTCCGAGGCCCGGTCAAAGATCGGAGAGGCAACGTGCGACGTCGAGATACGACATAGGTTTCCGTCTGAAGGACATTGTAGTGGTGACTTCGGCGCGCCATCGCCAGGACTTCATCATATTCGACAGATAGAGGGCCAGGTTGTCCGCGTTATGGTCCAAACCAGATCGTAAAATGGCAACGACTTCCACGCTGGACGCCAAATCGAAGACTCCATCCGCGTCGCAAACAAATAGCTTGTCTGTATCAAACTCGAAAATCCCCACCGTCTGGCGTGGCAGCGATACAGGGCGGAGAGCGATATCCATAAAAGTATGAATCGTATTGGACGCTCAAGGCAGGGGAGCTTTGTCACTGTCGAAGTTCAAGGCAGATAGAACATTGACGTAGTGCCAGGGCTTCCATCCGTTGAAGCTACGCGGAAGCTTGTAAGATCCATCGCCATATCCTTAGAAAAATTAAAGCGAGACGGGAGTCGAAGGCGTCACTTACCGCGAGTGCTCATAAATTTCCCAAAGAGACGGCCACCAACAACAACAACATCCTCCCCTAGATGCCCTTCGTTGAGCCGTTCAATTCTCGTTCAAGAGAGGTTTTAGCGTTCAAATCTACACTCTCCTGGTGGTTTCCCGTAGCCCTATCCAACACAATAGCACGACAATCACCCGCATTTGCGAAGTGAGCCATTCGGTTCTTGAGGTCAACGTCAAGCACTAGTGCGGTGCATCTAGAACGTAAAAGTCGAACGGATTGATTTGCGCTGGATTTCGTCCCAGTAGAGAGGTAATGAACAGATGTCGTGCCTCAAAATTATGTAGCAGTCTTCGATCCTGCTCCTCGAATATCCGCACGTTATCGTTGGGGCGAGCAACAAGGAGGGCTTCCGGCAATATGCGACATAGTATGGTCGGCAGTATTAGGTGGTCCACCATGTCCTGCTGAGCATTAACGCTACCTTACATCTTGGTATCGTGAAATACCATCATAAACACCAATAGTAAGCGGGATTTATCGGAAGAAGAGGAGATGGAAAACCAGTCTTCGATAGGTTGACTTGTGGGCTGGAACCGAACAAAAGAGAGACGGGTTCCACGAAGAGTTTGAATCTCTTGCTTGAATATTCCAGGCATTTGGAAATCTTGATCATGATTCCGAAAGCAAGCTCTTGAGTGAGGAGTGCAACAGGGTGATACGAGCCTCCAAGCGGTGAACGAACCAGCCCAGATCACATGACTCGGAGCTTCCTTCACGTTCCTCAGATTGACCTTGCCACAATTCTTACGGAAACCAATCCGCATATCGACCTCCGCACACAAGCATTTTATATCTCTTCGTGCAACTTCCTCACGACAGTATCGGACAAAGCGCGTGAAGTTGCCACATTAGTTGACCGACGAACGAGACACGCGTCGGGGGTCAAGCGCACGGTGGAGAAGGGCCACGTTGAAGCTGAGACAAAAGAACACAAGATTGAGGAACTCTAACTAGCAGCTGGCATCCTCCCTGGGCATGTTGGCTCAATCTGACTAGTTATTCAGACCTTCATCGGGAGCAAGAAGAACACCAAGAGGCCGAGGTTTCATACGGAACGAGCTTTCATACGGAAGGCAGTTAAGCCCCAAGCCATATTCTCGAACTTCCGAGCCGCATTTCTTCCCGGTTTCAATAATCCAACGATGGCTGTCTTGTACCAAACGCAGCAAACATGGACTGGGTTCGTGGCAGAATCTATGTTCCCGTTACAATTGCGTGATACTTTGTGTTAGGCGGCTCAAGGAGTTCAAGGACACTACGAAGCTCTTCACGATGGATGTGGTTGGACGACACTATCCAATCATCACCTCGGTCAGCGGCCTCCCTCATGACTGCATTCATCTCGTTCCGTGCCCTGCCTCAGTTGGCAGAGTAGTTATCCTCACCAGCAATACCCTCATTTATGTGGACCAATCGTCTCGACGTATCGGGCTTGCTTTGAATGGTTGGGCTGGCCAAATATCGGAGCTTTCGATGCTCCCGCTCTCATCAGAAGAGCAGTCCCGCGGCATTACCCTTGAGGGTGCGAGGCTTGTTTTCGCAGACGAGAAAATGTCGTTCTGAATTCTGAAAATCGTTTCCGCCGGTAAAACTGTCTCCAAACTTGTCTTCGCCTTGTCATTGGGTCAGAGTACCATCCCTGACACTGTCCGAAAGCTTTCCAATGGCCTGGTTTTCGTCGGTAGCCCTGCCGGTCCATCAGTGCTCCTCAAGTTCCTCCAAATAAAAGGAGATAGCCCAAGAAGAGGGTGTCCCAATGCATACTCTTGACGACGACGAGGGTGATTCTTTCATTTTTCTCTCTGTTTTGACTCCGTTGACCGTCATTGTCAGATATCGATGGACCAGTCAAGAAAGACAACAAGCTCACAAAGGGCACTTCTTGGCAACGAAGAAGACGCGAATCATCAACCCACTTGTCCTGGTTGACACGTTGGACACGTATGCCTCTATCGCAGATATGACCTTTGCTGCGGCACAGAATATTAATAGAGTGAGTATCTATAGATGTTGACCACGTCTAACTGGATCGTGCCTGAACTGGTCGCTGGCAACGGGAAGCGGGGTAGTTGGTGGATTCACCCTGTTCCAGGTTTGCTCCGTGTCTTTTACTTGCCTTTCATTCACTTTTATCAGTGAGATCTTCCTGTCGTGGTGAAACGCAAGTTACACGCCCTCGGTGGTACGCGGGGTATCTGGTCGCTTCCTATCCGCTCTATAACCAAGTCAACTGGGGATAACGGGGACCCTCAAAGCCAAAATGACACTCTTCTCATCGGTACCGACGCCACCCCCACACCAGGATTATCTCGAGTAAGGAGGTACGGCACGCACCGAAAGGCAAAATATTCAAGACAAGCTCAAGGATGGCAGTATGCCCCGTGCCAAAATTCGGTCCTATAGCATCTGTGATCCATATGTTATTGTTATCCGGGAGTACGACCCGATTGGCGACACGGACCGAGGTAAAATTCACAGGAAAGACATGTCACCGATGCGCGATAAGGTTGGTTTCATTGCATTCCAGTTTGAAGTCGAGTTAAGTTTTACCTAGTCGTCGAGATACTTGACTGGCTGCTTCTTCATCAACACAACTGGACTCTTTGATAGCTGTTTGCAGAGGGCAATACCACCGAACAGCGCAGTCAGTGTGGCCAAAGGGCTCCTGCCAAGAAGCAAATGGCTTTTGCTTGTTCGTTGTTAAGGTTTGGCTTCTGATTCTACTGAGCTTCATTTTTTGATTACTTGTTCAAGAACTGGACTTTACCGAAGCTAACCCTGGCCTTCTCGACCCCATGTTGTAATCCAACCCTCATTCCAACCTACTACATATCCGACCCTACGTCCGTTCAGCGATGGGCCCCCACAAAGAACCCTCTTCCGCCTCACCGACTTGGCCGACTGGCCACTGTCCTTGGGGTCTCAACTCCGCTCCCCGTCACCCATATTGTCTCCTTCATACAACGGTTCAAATACCACATTAGACCAATACCCACGATCTCCAACGCCATCTACCGCAACTTTCTTCGCATTCGTCGTCATTCAAGTATCTCCTCCATATAATTCCGCCAGTCAACTTACCTCACGACTCGGACGCGTTCGACTCGGATTTGACACCCCCATCCTCTACCGCATCTGGCTACCACGCCCATTTCAGGCGCGGAACTCTCGTCCCCTTCCATCCAACCTACAGTCACAATTGGGAGCCATTCCAAAGGAGTATGCACTCCCAAGCCCGACCGGACTCGTATTTACCTCGTCTCCCAATCTTCAGCGACACCGGAACAATATCCAGAAGAAGACGAGCCACCGTGTCCGCCCAGACTAGGCTGACATCCGCCACGCAGTGCCCAAAAGGTCATTTTGGTCCCGAAGCACAACGGATCACTGACTTCGCTGAATTGCCTGAAAAGCGATATGGGAGTCTCTTTGTCAACCTTTTCGAACAGCTCCACACTTGAGATCCAACAGGCGGCCTCAGTCGTTTATTCAGAGCCTCAGGCTGAATCAGTCGTCATCATCGCCTTCGAATCTCGATACGTGGCACCTGTTACTGCAACCATCTAGTTCATAACCTCCACTATTCACATCCCGCGGCCCGTCGTCTGTTCTAATCTTCAAGGGTAGAGTAACTGGGCAATCACCTTGCTTTGTGGCAAGGTCCCCCAACCTTTTAATTCGCTCCTTTTAGGAAATTTTTCCAATCGAAATTTCGCTAAATTACACTGATCTGCCATTTCACAATATGTACAAATACGTGTCAATAGGTGTAAACCAAATGTTCCCCATCGAGCGCGGTGAACTTCAGTGTGTTTTTGTCTGCAGTTGGTTAATAACTGCCCTTTGCAACACATAATGCTCACCTGGATCGTGCCGTCTTAGTCATCTTCGTCAATCGCTCGAATCTTTGATCTTCGATCCTCAATTGCTCCGATGGATGTTTGGTGAACAGCTCGGTGTTAGAACCCCTCAGGATACGTATGGTATCTCGTCCTCTGCTGCGCGATAGCGCAACATATGCCGCATGCGTGGAAGGGTGTTAGTTTCCCGGTGGGCGGATCACTAAGGTCGATTATAACATACTCCAGCGTTTGCCCTTGTGATTTAAAATCAGTAAACGCGTACGCTGGAGTCATCGCGTATTGGCGCCTTTTGACGGTTCGTGTGGCTGGCTTACCGCCTGTGGGGATTTGGAATGATACTCTCGACGGCACGATTGGAAGAACCCCCTCCGGTAATCCGCCGATAGACCCAAAAGTACTTATGTCTGGCTTGAAGAACAACACCGCCGGCGGGAACCGAAGTGTAACTTTTCCCTTGTCGTCATAACTGAACGGGTAAGGTTCTCTGTGGTCGAGTTTGAGATCAACGATTGTGCCGCGAGTGCCGTTCGCGAGGTCAGCTTCAGTCGCAAAGTACCATGGCTCGCATGCCGAGCGATATATCGACGTGCTCTTCGAGTTTGCCAGTTTGCTTTTGGGTTCTTCCCGCTACCACAACCCGTTCTCTGAGAGTAAGTGGCCGTCGATGTGGTGAAATTATATCTTCGGCGGGTGATATGTAGAGTCGGCTTGCAGTACTCCAACAATGCCGTTCTAGACAGGCCGTGTTCCACTTCACTCTTGCACCATGACGAGGTGTCACCAATACTGCTCCGTCCCAAGGTGCTGATGTGAAATCAGGAATATCGCACTCCGGATTTTGAAGGAGAAGTTTTTCCACTTCCCGAATGTCGTCGGCGGTGCATAATCCAGTTCGTAGCCGTGTCAGAATTTCCATCCAACCGCTGTCTCGCATCCGCATTTGTCAAATTGTAGATAGAGTTTCGCACCCAATCGCCCATCTTGCTTGTCGTCGTCAATGTAGTAAAGTGCTCCTGTAGGATTTGCAGGAGGTGGGAATTGGTGCATATCGCCACACAGAATCGCATTGATATCTCCAAATGCGATTGAACTGTCCGCTCGACCATCGTGTCCTTTCGCTACTCCAATAACACAGGAAAGTTCCAAGAGTAGACGTTTAGTCGGCATGCTCGCTTTGTCGATAATAAGGTACTTTGTGGGTAGAATGTTGCGCTGGCGCTTGTCGATTGTGTCTTGGCTCGGATTTGTAGTCATGTTCTGGATAGACAGGCCTGCCCAACTGTGTACAGTTTGGCCACCGAAAAGACTTGCAGCGACTCCCGTCGTGGCCGTTTTCGCTAGCATGTTGCTGACGTCCTGGGCTTCGAATAAAGACGATATCGTATTGATGACAACCGTTTTCCCCGTTCCGCCGGCGCCTTGGATCATCATTAGTAGTTGCTTGGGTTGTCTCCCGCTCAAGGTTGCGTGAAGATGGTCGGCGATAATGTCATGCGCTAGCTGTTGTTCCAACAGTGCATTGTACTTGTTGTTCGCCCGCGCGCGTGGATCTCCGAGGTCAATAACATCACCAGGTTGAACAGTCCAGTTGTCGAGAACATATTCAGTCCGCGGAATGACCAAATCACTGTTATCGACCAGGGTCGAATGTCTGGTCATCGCTGCAACTTTCTCGGCCCACGATTCGAACAGTTTGCATTGTTCCTGCGTCGCTTGCTCAACATCCTTCCATTCGGGCAACCCTCCAGTCAGCGTTTCCGAAAAGATTCCAGTTCGGAATGCGATGTCCATGGCTTTCGCACCAAATACTTCTTCCCTGTGCGCATATCGATTCTGTCGCGCCAATTCTACATCGGCTTCGGTCAGCGGACGTAAAGGGTCATCTGTTTCTTCATCGTACGCGTCCAATTCAGTATGGAAGAATTCGGCTGACGCATATGGGTCGTTAGCAATGATGTGGCGACGTTGCTTAGATGTAGGGCCTGAGGTTTTTACGAATGCGTCGAGGTCGATTTCTTCTCCCGCAAGAACTTGAGCGATTGGATCGCCAACATCCGATAAATTGAGAGTTGCCCATATCGTTGGCGGGTTGAAACGTAAGGTCATTCCCCAAATTTGACCACGGATTGCAATTCTGCTTTCGTCTGTGCCAGAGACTTTTGAGCGAACCGCCGTAAGTTGGCGACGCAGGTTGCGGACGGCTGGATTGCTGATCAGTTTCCGCTTTGCTTCTTCTTCGGCAGCTACCATGAAATCCTTGGGTTGCAGTAACAAGAATGAAGTCTGCAATGCGGTAAACGAGCTGCGGTTGACCAAGTCGAACTTGCTGCGCGACACATCTGGCGTTTGCTGATGACCCCAAAAGTCATGAACATGAAATGGATGTCGCATCGAAATCGCCTGTCGTGGTATTGAAGTGCCCACCGAACACGTGTCTCGTAAGGCACATCTGTCTCTCGGTCCACTTCTAGTCCTCCCATTCCATAAGGAAATAGACAAGGAAATGATCCAAGAATATGATTTGGATCACCCGGTCCCCCATCGAAACGATTGCCTTGTTTGTCCGTGCGTGCATACTCGTTGACAAAGGCGCTTCCTCTTCGAACACCATAATCCCTGAATAAATTGCTTGTTGCATGAGAGAACAGGTCCGAATCGGTCACTTCGTCCCCTACAGTGTCGATGACGCCGCTTGCTTGGGTAGGAAAAACATCAGGATCTGAAAGTTATAAGTAAATCGATTCTATAGGCGTATTGGCGATATTACCTTGCTCCTCTTCATCTTCACTATCTTCTGCTGTTCGGTGACCCCGATAATCTACATCAATTGAGCGTTGTATAGTTGGATATCATAGTTGCCTACCTGAAAACGTTCCTGTATACATTTCTCCGTCGCCATCCATTCCCTCGTCGTCGTCACCTTCCTCGTCTTCACTGTCGTTGTCTGCTGGAACATAAGTTGCATGTTCGTCCATTACTGCTCCAATTTCATTCGAGTAGCGAGCACGATCTCGTCTGGAACGCTGTCTTCAGGAAGTTCCGACAGGCGCTCATCCGAGATGCAAATGTCGCAGTACAATGGGTCGTTTGGTTTGAGTCAGCGAATTACATTCAGAACACGGAATCGTTGCACGTGAAGCATATCAGGATAAGCCGCAAGAGATCGGTTTCCCGTCCCGACGAAAGTAACTCCGATTATTGCAGCGAGGATGGAACTCGAATGTGGCATGATCTTCCCTTCGGTCATTTAGACAATGCGGTCGGTGTTGAGGCGATAAGACGATACATTGCCGCGTAATGCCTGATTAGACATTTTCTGTTCTTGATTTCTCCGCATTTTGATGGGAAAAAGTTTGACGATGTAAGCTGCAGGGAAGTGTAGGGAGACCAGCAGTCGTTCGGGTAGCGAGAGAACGCGCAACTCGAGGGGAACATCGCCTATCCACATGTAGTTTGCCAGGGACATAGCCGGTCGATTTCCGCGGGCAAGGGAGCGATAACACTCCTGACACAGATATTCGATGGAGCCATTTATCGCTCGATGGAGTAACAGATTTCCGGACAGCTTGTGAGCAGGATGGGGATGTGTCGGAATCAGCAGTGACGCATTTGGGATCTTGTCCGGTGAGCATGTGACCATTTGCGAAATGAATCGTTCTCGACCACAGCTTATGCATGCTCCCTTTCGCAGGGCTTCGTTTCCTGTCCTATCAATACCACTGTAGATGCAACTTAGCATATGCAACAGTTATCCAACAACAACTTACTGCGCAATACAGTTCTCTAGTATTGTCGCTGGAACCGTTTCCAAAAACGGACCCGATATCACCTCCTCGACAGTTGTCTTTCGACCCAGCCAGAATCCAGTTTAAGGGCAAGGGTCGAGCGCTGCTCAATTTCCACACGTCGTTTTTTGGCCTGTCGGTTACCAACCTTTTTGGTCCCAACCGTTGTGGTTGCCTGGATGAGCAATTGTGCCTTTTGATTGTTGGGTACCTGCGGCTACAAATTATAACGACAACGCATATACAACCATCCGACACTCACCTCATCCCTGGGACGCCGCACAATTTTATTTGTTTGGCGAAGTCGCGTCGCTGCCAGAACGTTCTGAAGCTGGATGTTACCAAGTGCGAGTGAAGCAGCCTAACTGGACTGCGTACATGTATTCTGTGGACGTTTTCCGAAGTGATTGGGATGCGCAACTCGAGATATTGGAAGAGGTAGCGTTTTTGACGTGCGTCGAAGTCAATGCTGAGGGACGGGTGCGTTTCAACTTTTTTTTCTCCCTTGATGGTTCAACCCACCTGACACTATGTGAAGCAACCATATGCAGTCAACGCACAAACAACATATTTGGGACTGACTGTACCTGGAGAGTACGGTCCGATTGTTGGTATAGCGCACCCTCGTGCATTTCCTTTCATCATTGGAGCAACGGTTGTTATTCAAGCAACCTTGCATTCAACTCTAAGGGCATTCAGTATGCTGGATGAATACCGAGTAATGCTCAGAGTAACTGACCTCGTCAGTATTTTGCAGTAACTGCTCAGGTGGTCAAGTCAATCCAACCTTCGCCCCATAGCATGGACAGAACAGTGTTATCAATCGAGGAGGGCGTAGTGGGTCTTCTCTGAGTATGTTGGCATGTATAGACGATTGAGCGACGTGTTGGTGATTCTGAATGAAATTGGAGTCTTAGATAATCTGATCACGTGGTCCAATTCCAATCCTCGTCACACTCTCTTGAGTTTTACTCTCCCCTCATGTCTTACGGCGCTTCTCTGCCCATATTGCACAAACATAACTGCGAGGTAGTGCAGAGACACCTAACACGCACAAATGCGGTACCATATTTCAAGATTTGTGGTTGACAATCTGATCTGTAGACTGTCGTGCAGTACGAGAAGGGTTCATGGACAGGGCTGCTTTTTGCAGCAGGCGCGTGGCAAACCCGTCTAGTGCAGATGTCTTTGTATTTGGGAACCTCCGCTCCCTACTCGGTGTATGATATCGACGTTGTTCACTGGATTTCTGCTGGCTGTCGCCCTAACGCCTCATCCGTGAATTGGGACAACAACTTCTACCAATTCGACCGGTGGCCCCCACAAAACGACATCCAGCTTCCTCGCGTCTTCACGGTGTTCTCTGCAACACAACCTCCCTACGATTGGCACCCAGAAGACGTTATAGAGCCTGAAAATCGGTTTGTTAGCCGTGGCATTGCTGAAGACAATCGTAAATGGTGGGGAAACATTCTGGTGGTATGCTTGGAGCACACAACCGGTGGCATTGGAAATATCACATTGGAGGACGAGCAAATGTGTAAGGCACTGGTCAAGCAGTAAGTGCGCTGTGGTAGCACGGGCCGACTCTGACACCATCGCAGTGTAGTCAATAATCGACTGAAAGGAAGAGAGCCATACGCTTGGTAATATGTCAATTGTCGCTTGTTAACAACTTCTACCATGTCCACAATCGCCTTGAATACCGACACGATCATTCAATCGGTATTCCTGAACTGCTCGTGGTTCAGCGCACTTCCTCTCAGCGGCACTAACAGACGTCTCCGGTCATCATACCAGAAATTCATTCAGCGTCGTCTCAGCAACGTTGTGGGCTCTCTCCTCGCAGCAGCGACAGACGACAATGACACCATACATGACGATATGTTTTAGAGAGTAAGAGACCTATTGTTCTTTCTTTGTATTGTTAACGATTGACAGAACGTCATCCCAAGATCCTCCAGCGCAATTGCGTGGCTCAGCTTTGGTTCACAAGCTCAGACGACAGGTAATACTATCAGTTTTTGAGAGCGCCGTACACTGACGAGTACTACAGACTGCCACAATCGTCATTTTCGAAACTTTTTCGATGTCGGTATTGCCCACGCTGTTCGCTGCCCGACAAACACTCGACATGGGTTTTGTTTGAATTTCGGGCGGGTCTATGATGTGCCTCTATCCGCGTTTAGGATGCGATTTGATTAGTTTGCCTGGGTGGTCTTCAGTTGGCCAACCTCTATGGCGCGATCGATGCCTTCAAGACAGCAGGCGACTTCCGATCTACCAATTTTGAATTCCATCGCCCATGTGGGGTGAAATGCACTCGAATTTGGCGTTCCTTGGTGTCACACAAGGGTCTCGCGCTTTTCGTATTCAACCCGAATATACCTCCGATGTATTTTGGACAAGATCGTCACATTCGCGGGAGGATTGGGGCTGCTTGTTACAACTCCAAATGCCCTAATCAAGGAAGGGAAATTTTGGCGTACATTACTCATTATTCTATGATTGACTCTTCGACATCCTCATAAATCAAACTGGAGCTCTTTGTGTGGTACTCCCGTTCATCATGCGACTTTTGCGACAGAACTGTGTGGGGGCCGGCGACATCTAGTATAATGACAAATGATTTTTGTGTGACGCTGAATCAATCACGTTATGTACTCTGCCACCAGCCCGACTCCCCTCCTCGCTCTGGCTTCTTGGCCGTCTTCCGCCACCAAATGTTGCTCGCCATGGCATTCTATAAGAAGGAGGACGAAAGCGCTTCCGGGCTGAGCTCGTACCCTAGCAATCAAACGACCATCATCCAGGAAGCCCTCGTCTTCAGCGAAGCTCCAATCAGCCCCCCGCAAATGTCGAGCGCTGCTTACGCGCATCGTGTATCTCCTATACGTGGGCGAGAACTTCAACACACAAGAGGCTACTACTCTCTTGTTCGGGCGCTACTAAGCTATTCCAGCCTAAAGATGTAAGCAGTGTCCCAGGCATGTTTTCGGACCATATAACTAATCTGGATCTCCAGAGCGCCCTGCGGCAGGCGGTATACCTGACCATTAAGGAACTCGCAACGACCACGGAAAATGTCATAAGGCTACCGAGCAGCATCCAAAAAGACATGCAACCCAACGCGGAGGTTATCTATCGGCCCAATGCCATTCGGGCCCTTTGCCATATCATCGACGTGCGTTGATTCGTTATATCTCTATATTTTCAGATGCTGAGCACGAAAAATAGCCTTCTATGGCTCAAGGTGTCCAACGGTTTTTCAAAGCTGTCATCGTCGACCGAAACCCTTCCATTTCATCTGCTTCGTTGATCTTGGTATACCATATGCTCCCGCAAGCTAAGGGCGTCGTTAAGCGCTGAGTTCATGAAGCGGAAGAGGCCGTGAACGTTACAGCCGGTGGCTACTTTAGACCCTCAGTAACGGGCGGAGGTTTCTTGGGCAGCGGGAGCCAAAGTAACGCACAGACCGTACCTTTCTCCAGCAATACCATGCGCTCGGACCGCTCTATCTTATTCGGCGACAAGACTGCATGGCTGTTGCAATAATGGTTCAACAACTTGGTGGGGGAAATCCGGCTCGGGAACGACGTTGAAAAATGCCATGGCGTTGTCTATGCTCATTCGATATGCGGCCAATGTCATGGCAGAGGATCCCAAGTGCGTTACTCTTCGCCGTCAAACTGGGTACAAGCTGATTTTTTTTGGCAGCCAAATAGTTGAGCTGCTTGAATGCTGGCCCAGGCATAAGAGCGACATGGCCAACTTTGAAGCGGGTTGTGTTCTCCGTGAAATGAAGAATGACGCACCCGCTCAACTGACCCAGTCGATAGCTGGCAAGACTTGCAATTTTCTATTTGTTTGTTTGCTAATGCATTTTAGTTCTCCCACTGTCTTCTCCCAAGCCTGTTCTTCAATTCTCCGCTACTTGAACGCTTGCTGCTCTCTCGCCGTCACCCATCCGCCGCTTGCAATGTTGATCTCGAAAGTCTCATCGCAGACCAGAACCGCAGCGTTGCTACCTATGACATCACTACTACTCTGCTCCAGGTATCATTGCATTCATATTTGACTTCTTGTTCTTATATTTTCTCATAATAGACTGGTCACGAAGCCTCTGTCGACTGTCTCATCAAACAGATGATTACCAGCTTCATGTCCGAAATCCGCAAATCATTGTCGACGCGGTCCGCTCTCTTTGCCACGCAATCCCTGCCAAGCACGCCGCTATACCCAATTTCCTTTCTGGTGTCCTTCGCGACGAGGGTGGCTATGGTTTTAAACGTTAACGCGCGGTTGTTGAAGCCATCTTCGATATGATCAAATTCATCAGCGAGTGCAAGGAGTAAGCGCTGTCGCATCGCCGCGAGGTCATTGGGGATTGCGAGTTTACAAAACTCTCTATTCGCATCCTTTACTTGCTCGGTCTCAAGGGGCCCAAAGCTTCCCAACCCGCCAAATTCATTCGTTTCATCTGCTATCGCGTTGTCCTGGAAATGCGGCCGTGCGAGCTGCCGCTGTGTCCAGCTTGGCCAAATTTGGCCTCAATTTCAACCGCGAGGCCCTTAACCAAAGTGTTGGTGTCCTTTCTAGACGGTCTGTGTTTGAATGTGTTGTCTGATTTTTTCACTAAGACACTTACAGATGTCTTGATGACGTCGATGATGAAGTTCGCGACCGTGCTGCTATGTACCTCAAGGTATTCAGGAAGCAAACCCTTGCCGAACCACACGTGAAGGATGGTTTGTCTTTGGCTGCTTTGGAGTCGAAGCATGTTGCCTACGTCAAGGATTCTGCTGCTTCTGCACAAGCGTTTGAAGTTTCTGGTACTCCTCAAGATCAGCCATGCTCAAACCACCGCCGGCGAGGTTGCCCGTAAGTTTATCATATCGTTCGTTTGTGATTTACTAATCTCTGGCATAGGACCCAGCTCATTGGATAACTGGTGTTCCGTCTACTCAAACTAGGCCATCCACCAACTACAGCGGAGACTCAAAGTACATACGCGGAACAAATTGCCACTGTCCCGTCGTCCGAGCCTTCTGGAGCTGTGCTTAATAACCGCAACCCGGCTTGCTGAGCTCTCGGAAAGCGAGACCAAGTTTACCTGCGTCCAAACACATTTTCAAAGAGCACTTTGTCTTCCAGGTGAGCTATTTTCACGCTTTTTTACGATGCTTTGTTAATTCAGTCCTAGTTCAATGTCTCGAACACGATCCCAGACGCCAACAGGTTACGCTGACGATGGCCACACCTGAGGATTTTGGTCTTAGAAAGGACTTTATTCTCCCTATTCCCAGCCTGACTACGACAAGTTCATCTGGAATAACTTACGTCTCGTTCGCAAGGGCTTGCCCACGGATTATGCGACTGCTTCGTTCTCTGGTACCTTTCAATTTGTCAGCAAGGCGCTTGATCCGACAACTGGTAAGCCTGAAGACGAATATCCGCTGGAGGAGGTCGAGCTTAGCGCGGGCGGGGACTACCTCGTTCCTTCATATGCTTCGTTCGGCTCCGAATGGGATCGGATGAAGGGCGGGCCGAGTGTGATAAACCTGGGAGCGGCCGTGGACCGTCTGAAGGGTGCGTGTTATCCTAGTTTGTCGTCGACTTTTCATTGAAGTCGCTATTGCAGCTACCTGCGACTTGATCATCGAGGTACTCGCCCTGGAACCCTTGGGCGGGACAGAAAGCCCGACATCTTCCTCGGTTCATACGCTGTCGTCGGGATTGGTCACGGGCGGAGGTGGGAAGGTACTTGTACAGAGCCGAATGACGTTCTCGTAGGGTGTTGGCGTTACGCTGGACCTTGGGGTCCGCGCGGAACACCAAAACGTTTGCCCACTTGTGGTCAACTATCGGTGGTTAGGATGGTCCACATTAGAATACTTGTCGAATCATACTTTTTTTCAACTTGTAGTAGTTTGTATAGGAAGATTCACGACTTGATCTCGGCACAAAAAGCGCATAAGCTGCGTGGGTATACAAATATAAAGCAACATCTCAACTTGAACCTTGACTTCGATGCAGACCTCATACTACGGCATGTCGTGCCTGTAACCCATCTCGAAGGCATTGGGAGCTGAAACATGCTCTTTGGCGGGGGGGTTAGGATGGATCCAGTGCCAGTGGTTGAGCGAAGTTGGCAGTAAATGAACCCGAGGAGGCACGTCAATCCGAGTCTTTTCATCGTATTGACTTGAGCTAGGTTCGCAGCCTTATCACCGATGATCTACTTTTCGCAAGTATCATCTAGCCACGACCAGCTCCTTCCCAACCAACCGCCGAAACTTTTGTGAGAGAGTGCCGGCTGGCCACGTCATGGTTTATGGAGGACGCTACCACTTCCTCGACACCCTCTCAAAATGAAAGGAAAACCGTAGCCTTCGTCGATGCGGGTTCTGCTTCCCCGTCATCCAGATCCTTGCCAAAGCGGTCGATAAGAATACGCTTCAAAATCTCCATTTTTGGTATGTACGAAGGAGGCGTTTCAGACCCAACGCTTCTTCGAGCTCTTGAATCACCGCCTTGAACGTAGGTTTCTCGATCAGGTTTTTGACTGCGTCGTTGCTCCTGCCATCTTCATCGCGGGGGTTGGTCCCCGATGTCTAGAGGTAGGCGTTACGCATGCCAATAGCTGTTACATATACCAAGGACGTCGCTGCAAGGTATTCCACGGGGTCTCATGTCAAGCTTCAATCAGTTGAGCGATCACTGGCAATGGTTTCATTGGCGCTGCGAAGACCACTTGGTCCTCGGGAAACCCACGATAGTCTATGCATTGGATGAGAGTCGACACTATCTTGAAACTTGGACGCACAATACAACTCCTGCAATAGAGTTTTTGCCCAGACCAGCCGGCAACACGACAATTACGTTCTTGAAAAGACCATGCTTGACGATTGGTAGCTTCGTTTTTCGTGGTTCAATGGATACACCCAGCGTTTTGCCTCCAGAAGATCAGGCTTGAGTTTCATAGATGAAGGCTAAGCATCGTTCAGAGACTGCTTCGGAGGAGCTAGAGGGATAATTTACGGGCCTATAAAATTCAGTCGCGCATTCCACTGCAAGCAATGGACACACCCAACTGGAAATATCATAAGTTGAAAGACAACAAGTATCTGAAGGGGAACACGTACGAGTTATCGGCAGAGCGGGATACCGTACGAATTCAACGGTTTCCTCTTCCTTCCTCCCAGTCATATCCCAGTTTCTAGTCTTCGTTTTCTTCTGCCCAGTCGCTAGGAATTCCGTCTGGTCACATTTCTTGGTTTTGGATGATTGGCCGCCGAATGGTGTCCTAGCCACTGGTCGTCAGGAGGTCGTGTTATTTCGTGGAGTGGCGAGACATCTCCGAAGGTGGTTGGATGCATACGGCTGGGGCCAGCGACTGGCTGAGCAGCACCATTATCGTTTTCTTGTATGAAGTCGTCCATTCGATCCAACTCGTTGGGGTTGAATTCGCCCAAAGTACAGTCTTCTTCTTCAGGTTCAGGAGAAGAGGATTTCGTGGGGGTGGTTGGAGCGAGAGCGTGCAGTCTCTATCACGTCTATTTGGCTTATTGCCACGTCATCCAGAGAAGGCAAGTCGTCGAAGTTGTAGTATCATCGTCTTCAGAGTCGATTGGTTGGCACACGAAAGCTTGGCACGTGACCATGACACCGCTTGACCATGATCTGAGCTTGCTGCCATGCAATCCCACTAAGCGGAGAACGGCCGCTGAAGGTACTCCCGCCCGCCTTTATCGTCGCACTGCCCGTCACTTCCTAGCTCTCTCGCTCTATCTCTGAAGATGAAGAAGTCAACATCTCACTCGTCTCACACGGGCACAGCCCATCTCCAACTCCGACTTCTACGAAGATGACGGATAGGTCTCTTGGCCAGCAGCCCCAGAAACCATCGCTGTTGAAAGCCGGATAAAAATGAAGGTTTCGCAATGGATGGCGCGAAGGAGAGCCGCTGGGCTTGTCTCCAGAGAGTCTGTCTGTGGTATTCTTCTTTTTTGACATTCTTATGTGCTTCCAGGCAGAGTGAACCTGGTCCCCTTCCACATGAAACAAGACTCTCTGGGGCTGGGCCTATCATCATCGTCCACAACATTCCCTAACTGCCCAAATGCAAGTACTACCCGGCATTTGGTCAACGCAACGACACGGCCCCACCTCTAAACACTTTTTGGAGGGCCTCTATGAGAGTAGGAAAGGCTTTCCGAGATTAATGCGGTCTTTCCTTCCTGTCTTACCGCTGGCAGGAGCTCCAGCAAACTGCTTCGTCTTTGGCTCACGGCTGTCGGAATTGTTTCTACAGGGGAAAACAGGTCTTTCTGGCGATGAAACCCGTACTGGTCAAGTTATATCCACTAGCGGCACCATAGACATGCTTCTCCAAAACCGACGCAGCGTCGAAGAAGTTCGCAAGTTGACAGGCATGCACTGTGCGGCGATCTGACGAGAGCGTTTGCCGCTACCCTGGGCTAAGGAAACGCTCCAGCAGAACTCGAGCATATCCAAGGGCTTGGTCAAAATGACGTCGCGTCTTCCTACTTGCACCACAAATCCCCTCTTCTCACTACCTGACAGAGCAACGCAGGACGCGGCTGCTTCCTATACTTCAACAGTTTCCAAAGCAGCATCGACAGAAAGAGCACTTCTGCTCTTGTTTAAGTTGTTAATTCACTCGGCCGCAGCCAGGAACGACACCGAGGCTCTCAAGTTTTGCATCAAAGCTGAGCAATGAAAGGACTACCTTTACATGTTGCGAGTAGTTTGGTCTACGTGCTCGACCCATCGCAGTGTGGGTCCTCTGTTTCTCATTCGTCCCGTCTCTTATATTTCCAGTGAGACAATGCCGTCGATAGGCTGGGGTGGTAGCTGCCTTGACCGTGTGGTAGCTAGACTCTAATGTGATGATGTGACAAGCTGTGTCTACCGGCCCGGCGCCGACCTCCCATCAAGCAGTCGGCTCAGGGGCTTTGCGTAACTGGCAGCGAATACCGCTATCGAGAACGGTGAGGTCTTCAAATATCCGGACTTCCGAGAGAATCCCTTTCCATGTAATTCAACCGTTAGTTATTAACCTCATAATCTTGTATGTATGGTACTGGTGGCGTCACGCGTCTACTTGCATCTCTTCAGCTACCGCAAGGATGCTACGCAATAAGTCCAAGCTCCCCAATGGCGTTTTTGATCCTTCGACTCGCTCTCGTCGTCACACGGGCTGAAGATCGTGCGTGACGCGACCAAGGGCAGCTTTTGCCGCAGGCGACGTTCTTAAATCTGAATCATACGTAAGGCTACATAAGATATAGGTGGGAATATAAACCCGTACCTTCTCCTCACCCCCAAGAGAAGATGCAGAAAATTTCGAGAGGTTCCGTATCAGCAGTCAGCACCAAGAACTCTGATACCGCGATTGCACGTCGTCGTTGCTGGATGAGAGTCAACATGATTCTAGGAAATATATGGAATCCTACGTCGAGTGGGTTTCCTGGTTGGCACCCAGTCTGAGCTGCAGGTGTGGGGAGGCTGGTTGGGCCAACTCCAAAATCTACAAAAGTTGAACGATAATAATCGAGTGAGACGTTCGGCGTACTGAGTTTAGTGAGCCCGGCCTCAGCGAACGACCATACTTTCGAGCGCAGTTGATCCATAAGTATCCGTTGAGCTCTTGCGACGTTGGATCGTTGGTCGACGAGAGAGAGAGAAAAGCCTAATATAAGTGTGTGCTGAACGTTGGGAGTACTTTCTTAGCTGCGCCAAAGGAGAGGTGAGAAGAATGCGTGCGAAAACCGAGAGAATGTAAGCTGGTCGTTCTGGGTAAAAGGCCCGGCACCGAGGTCAAATTAGAGAAACCCGCTATTGGTGATCACAAGGTTCGAGTTTCCTGCACGGGTGTCCTTGACGGTAAAGGGGGTATGGCATGACCTCGGAGACGAGGGAGATGACCAAGTTATTTGACGGATATGGGGCCCCATTCGAGTTTAGTTCTTTTGACATGCCGAGAATAACTTCGACTGACGGATTAATGGTAAGTTAAAGTCGTGCGGAGCAGTACCATACCGGAAGCTCAAGTCAAAGATCTTTGCCAACTCTGCCAGACCTGTCGAATGAGAAGTTGCCGCGGCTCGTGTGGAACTGATCATTCGTCAGTGGTGACTCCAATTTCTTGCAACGGAAAACCGACCTCGTAGGTAACGCAAGCGAGATAACGGTGACTAAAGGTGACATTTTTGGTGCCGCTTGGATCACTCCTATGGGCAGGAGCCAAGACCCGTGACCAAATGTCTATTGCAATAGACCTGCGTCCTGCGGGTAGAAACAAGTTAGGGTCCTCTGCGTTGGAGAACTGACAGACCCATGAATGGCTTCAAACGTGGCAGCGAAAGACACTCAACGTACCCAAACTTCTTTGGCCAACGGGCTGAACGGTAGGGTTGGCCTGTTTCTAGTGAGCTTCATCCCACGGAGCCAGGGTTATCCTCACAGCATTTCCCTTGAAGTTGAATTGAACCCCTAGAGCCGTGACTTTGCGGCCTCTGCAGTATACGTATCAACTTGGGAATCCTTCTGGATCCCTGACTCACTTGCGAGTTGTGAATTTTGCGAAACGACCGCCAACAGGTCGGTTAACGCCATTGATGGTTATATGGACGTTGCTCGAAGGGTGGGGCAAGAGTTGGGTTACTTCGGTACATGTAGTGCGGCGTTCTAGCCCGCATTCAGCCGAAGGCATTCAAGGTGGGTGAGGTTATCACTCACATGATAGATGTACATCCCATAGTTCCCAA